TCGCGAGCGCGATGACGAACCCGCTGCTATCGTTGACAGCAGTGGCGTCGTCCACATCATGACAGACGCTGAAGAAGCACAGCGCAACAGCGACCTCCAGCTCGCCGTCATGGAGAAGATGAAAACCGGCATTATCAGATGCAGCGTGACTTCACCTGCCGAACAAGATACCGCTGCTCCCCCATCAAAGTCCGACAAACCTCCACTACCAGCCTCGGCAAAACAGAAAAAGTCATCGTTCTGGTCTCTAAGATCGCTCATCTCCAAAGAGAGCTTGGCGAGCCTGAAGCGCTATGCCAAAGAGGGCCAAACCCATTCAACCTCCCATTCTCGGTCTCAGTCCGTGTCTCAGGCCGAGTGCCAGCTTCCCCGCAAGAGCACTTCTCTGCTGAGGAAGATGTCCGTGTTGGACATGGGGAGGCACAGGCCGGTCAGTGCGTCTCGCAGCAAGGACACGGCGGGATTCAATCGCATTGTCAGCTAAGTATCTTGTACTTCGCTTCAGGGATATACCCTCCAACAGCTCTTGCTTAATGTTCATCTGGCTTGACAGCGTGCTTAATTGTAATGGCTGATTTGTCAATTTTATGCCGATATTACACAGTATTCTTCTCCGGACAGCAACTTGCTTGTGACTTGTTATTTGCGATCTGTTTCGGTACTTTGCGTCGGCTTGACGCGACTCCGGCTATTTATGAATCTACTGCATGTGGTGGACGGGGAAGCGTTTACGTTCTGTATGGCTACTACGAATTACTTGGGAGCAAAATGAAAACCGAACGAACTATACCATATCTATTGGTATCAATCTCTTCCCCTTGTCTGGTAACCTCCCAGGTACATCCTTTCATGTTATTGAATTGAGTAAACATAACAACGTAACAGTAAGAACAAGCAAACGACCAAGTCATCATCCATCATTCGTAACCATCAGGATCGAACTGTCTACAATCCCAGCCAGTAGCGCGTCTTCCCGACCTCAAAGGAGGACTTGAGCACCTCGTCGCCCGTCCCCGTCACCAGCACCTCGTACGTCCCCTTCTCCGAAGCCCACTTCTCACGCTGCTCGTCCCACCAGCTCGTCGCCAGCTTCTTCTCCACCACAATCTCGACCTTCTTCGTCTCACCGGGTTGCAGGAACACCTTGGCGAAGCCCTTGAGTTCGCGCACGGGGCGGTTCACCCCCGTCGGCGGCGGAGCCACCCACAGCTGCACAATCTCAGCGCCAGCCACGCTACCTGTATTAGTCACAGAGACAGTAGCGGTGATGGGCTCGCCGTCTTCCAGCTGGGGTTTCTCGGGGGTAGTGGACAGGGACAGGTCCGAGCGGGAGAAAGTCGTGTAGGAGAGGCCATGGCCGAAGGGGAAGAGCGGGGCTAGATCCACCTTCTCGTAGTAGCGGTATCCGACGTAGACGTCCTCGCCGTAGAGGACGCGGCCGCGCTCGGAGCGGAAGTTCAGGTAGGACGGGTTATCCTGGAGACGGACGGGGAAGGACAGCGGGAGCTTGGCGGCGGGGTTGACGGCCCCGTAGAGCACGTCTGCGATGCCGTTGCCGCATTCGTTGCCGCCGAACCAGGCCTGGAGGAGGGCCTTGGCTTTGTGCGCCCACGGCATGGTGACGGGCGTGCCGCTCTGGATGACTACCACTGCGTTGGGGTTCGCGTCTAGCACGCGGCTGATCATCTCGTCGCTGCCTGGGGGTAGGTCCATGTGATCGCGGTCGTGGCCCTCTGTTTCCCATTCGCTGGTGAGACCGGCGAAGATGACGACTTGGGAAGCTTGGGAGGCGAGCTCCGCGGCCTTGGAGATGAGTTCCTCCTGGCTGACGCGGCGGGCGGCGCCAAAGCGGAACCCGCCGGGCCCGAAGATGACGACGCCGCGCATGTCGAGGTCGGAGGTTGGGGCGGTGCCGAATTGCAGGACGACCTTGTAGGTCTGGCCGGCCTTGAGTTCCTTGGAGCCTTTCTCTTCGACGGTGGCGGTGCCGAACATGGCGGTGCCCTGCCGCTGGTTCTTGGAGTTGTCGACGACGAGCTCGTCGTCGACGAATAGTTTGCCGGTGCCTACGACTGTGACGCCAAAGTCGTAGATACCGTCTTCTTCCGGCGTGAAGTAGCCCTCCATGTCCACGTAGAAGGTGAAGGTCTTGATCTTGGGGTGCTTGTAGTCCATCAGGAAGCCGCTGGATGATTCAAGGTGCAGTTCATCGATGAGCTGGCGGTTGGGTTCTGAAGGGGGCTCGTTGTACACGCGAAACCTGAAGCCTTTCTTGCCATCATCCGTCTTGAGTAGAGGACCGAGCAAGGGAAGTTCCTTGTACGAGTAGACACCCTGAGAGAACTTGACCTCGCCCTGGCTCTGGGCAGAGACACCTTCAAACGGTGTCACGGTGTAGTATGCGTCTAGGGATGCTGATCCGCCGCCGCAGTACGCGGCAGTCTTGGCGTTTGGCCCAATGACGAGAATGGGCTTCTCTTTCTTTAAAGGCAGAATGTTGTCCTGGTTCTTCATGAGAACCACGGATTCCGCCGCCGCTCGTCTGAGTAGAGCCTGGTCCTCTGGCCGATTCAAGGCCTTTTCAGGCGCGTTCTCTGGGATACCCAGCGGCTCCACAAAGTTGTGCAGGTTCAAAATATTGCGGACCCGCTCGTCCATTACGAATTCAAAAGCTTTGTTAGACGAAACGGCATGCGCTAGAGCGGTTCCGCGCCAGCGGGTTGGACCTGGCATTTCAAGGTCCAAGCCAGCGTTGATGGCATCGGAAGTACTGTATGTCCCGAACCTTGAAGTTGTCAATACCTTTCTGTGCTGCATAGTCATTCAGCATCGACCAGGTATGAACTTACCAGTCACTCATCACCAGACCGTCCCACCCCCACTCCTTGCGGAGAATATCGGTGATGATCAGCTTGTTCTCACTGACATGCGTCCCATTGATCTTGTTGTAGGCTGTCATAACGCAGGCAGTCTTGCAGATCCTCATCGCCAGCTGAAAGGGCAAGAGATAAATCTCGCGCATAGCGCGCATCGTCACAATACTGTCGACAGCCAGTCGCTCATGTTCCTGATCATTGCAGACAAAATGCTTCAGAGTGGCTGCAACGCCCGTCTCCTGCAGACCCTTGCAGTAATGTCCCGCCAGAATGCCCGAGAGCACACCGTCCTCGGCGAACGACTCGAAGCCTCTGCCTCCAAGCGGGGAGCGCTGGGTGTTGATTGTGGGTCCCAGCACAACATGTGTGCCTTTGGCAATAGACTCTTCTCCCATCAATCGGCCCACCTCGTGCAGGAGCTCGGTATCCCAAGTTGCGCCTAGCGCGGTGGCACAGGGAAAGCAGGCGGCAGGGACACCATTGAAGAAGCGGGTGCCGCGTACACCATTGGGGCCATCAGACAGGCGAAGACTGGGGATATTGAGACGGGGGACGGGGGCCGTGTGCCAGAAATCAATTCCTGTATCATTATCTTGTTAGCTCCATTGTTGATGTATATCACCAAAACTTCATCTGTTTATGGTTGAAAATCACATGTGAATCGCGCGATCACTTACCAGCTGTAAGAGCTACCTTCTCACCGAGCGTGAGCTCCTCAATGGTCTTTTCAACATCTAACTGAACCATGGTGAATGGACGATCAAGTATCTACAAGAAAAGACAAAATGCTCCCTCCGATCAACGGTTGGGGGAAATACACAATAATCAAAGCTGATCCACAACTCTCAGAATCGCAGGTTGCAAGACAGGTAGATAAACCAGCAACACAATAATGAGAGGAAGTAGGAACCATATGAGGGGAATGACGACAGAGAAAAAAAAAAAAAAAAAAAAGTTGAACTATTGAGGGGATACCAAGCACTAGATATACTGCGGCTGTACCCCTAGTCTAAGCGTACTCCAAAATCTCCAACTGCACGCGGACTGTCGTCTTGCACAAGGAGAAAAGAACAAGTAATCAAGAACTGAAGATGAAACAAACCACGTCTATTATTCATTCGTTCTACCGTCCCGAATTCTCCGTCGCGATCTCAGGATCCGGTAAGTTGAACCGTTCGTTGTAGATAGCAGCCGAGTGCGGGAATCATTATTCCAGCAGCAATTTGGAGTTGTGCACCTCGAGCATGTCAGCAATCAGCATCAGTGCATCAGTGCATCACAGATGGAGCTTCTCCAGCGGGTGGATCGCCGGTTGGAACGCCCGAAGTTCTCCCAGCCGGTGGAGAAACATGCACTGATCACTCCTAGTAGATGTGTGATGTATTAAAATGAAACTGACAGGAACGGCCCTCGTGAGCCCTGTCTGTCGCACTAGGATGAATAACCTGTAGTTAGCCAGGGAATAATGATAACAAGCACGGCAGGGGCAAGGAATCCCACTAGCGCTCGCATGAAATGATATGGGTCCCCGCCAGCTGTGGATAATCGCAGAGAGTCAAGGCTTCAGGGACCGATGGGTCGATGACACTAGACAGGGAGCTGGATGAAAGGGAAACGGAGCAGCGTCCGAGGTTTAACCGACGCTTGGCGGTTCAGAGAGCGGGGGAAGACGCGGAGTGTCGGTCCGATCTGCCTGTGATTCTTGGGCTAGGATTTGCATTCGGATAATATGAAGATAGACGACTTGAAAGGAGTGGGGGTAAAGAGATGTATGTTACTTCGGGAGACTGGAAAGCAGACAGTAAAGCAGTCCTCGTGACCATGACAGTCAGAGGAGCGAGGAGCTTCACCTCAGTGCTTCACGCAGAGAAATGCCAATAAACAATGTCATCGTTGCGTCTGATAATTCTGCTGTCTTCAGTAATACACGCTTATGAATTGAATTCTTGTACTTAGAGCCACAAACGAAAAAGAAGAATCCCTTAGATCCGATGTAGGCTTGGTAGTAATGCGACAAACACCGTCCAACAAATGCAATGATATAGAGCCCCAAACGAGATAAAGGAAACACAGTGTTCGAATGAATGGAGAGTACAACAAAAGCTAGCCCGTCTCCCTTCCCATTCATTGCCCTCGCCGGGGCCGTTTGCTTTCCCCTCCCATGCGCATGCCTCCTCGGCCTCCACCACCTCCTCCTTCTCCAGGTCCATCATCTCCTCCAGGTCGGCCTCGTTTTCGGTGAGGTGCCCCGCTTCCCCCGTCGCGATTGTAGTCCCGATCCCGTCCCCGCTCGCGATTCCGGTCTCGATCCCTGTCCCGTAGCTCACGGCCACCGATGCCGCCACCGCCGCCTGCACCCCATCGTCGATCCTCCTCCGCGTTACCCGGAAGGGGAGGTGGTGGTGGCGGTGGAGGAGGTGGTCCTCCACCCAACGAAGAAGGAGGTCGGAGGCGGCCTTCACGCTCATGGCTGCCCGGTCCAAGTTCGGGATTCTCTTCCCTCTCTCGGCGGTCTCGGCGACGGTTTTCTTCGCGCGAGCCGGTTCCGCGTCGCGAGGCCTCTCGAGACTCATATCTTTCCTCTCGAGAGACGGTTCCTCCAGTATCACCGCGCCGGCTACGTTCGCGTTCAAAGTCTCGGACCCGTTCTCTTTCCTCTCGGCGACTGCTACTACGTCCCCCTTCTTCGTCCGGCCCACCTCGACGCTCACGATCGCGATCACGCTCTCTATCCCGATCCCGATCTCGTTCCCGTTCTCGGTCGTGTGAGGCCCTGCCAGATCGTCTTGACTCAGACCCCGTTTCTTCCGCGGGCTCATTCCGTCCGCCGCCGAGGCGACCCTTGGAAGGACCATCGTCTTCCGTAAAGGAAGCTAAAGGCCGGCCAGTCAGAAGATCAGGACGGCCTTGACTGGATAAACCCGATCGGCTACCCTCTTCGGAAGCTCCCGGTGTTCCTGGCCGAGTGTTCTGGGGCGAAGGACCACCCATACTTGACTGTCTGTTCGCGCCGCGACCACGAATTTGTGGGCCAGGGCCTCCACGGTCTCCAGGTCCGCCTGATTGCTGGAGCATGTTGTTGATACCCGCGAACCGCTTATCACCCCTTCCACGTTCACCACCGAAAGCAGGTCCTGAAGGTGGTCCGCGATTGTTTGAGGATGGGCCCGATGGTGGCGCAAGGCCACTACGAGGTCCGGACGGCGGAGCAGTTGATGCGGGAGATGGAGATTGATGAGCGCGTGGACTGCCGCCAAAAGTATCCTCACTGGCTTGCTGTTGCAAAGCCTTGAGACGGTCTGGATGAATTCCACTGGCATCGAGCTTCTCAATTGTTGGCGATGACGGGCCGGTTGAACTCGGCTGTTCAGGCGCGGCTCGCATTCCTTGGCGACCTGGTCCAGTGGGGGGTTGACGATCCTGGGCCCCGGCAGGAGAAGACGGTGTAGCATGCGAGAGGCCAGAGGCGGTGCGTCCGCCGCGTCCGGATGGATTTCTTGCCCGTGGACCAGACGGGATGTCTGATGTCGACTCTGGTTGACGTAATCGGCCGTGGCTCATGTCGACACCAGGCTCCCTGGGCTCTGGAGCATCCATAGGGGCCCGTGATTGCCGGTCATTACGGGGTCCCGTCGGTGTATCGTCATACCGCGAACGCCCTTGAGGGTGAGAGGGGAAGCGGCGGTCATCAGGTGGGAATCGTTCTGGACGGTTCGGGAGGTCCGCCCTTGGGGGTGAGAGAGCCCGTGTTGGCACAGCTCTTCGGTCATCCTTTTCTTGTCGCATTTGGTCCCCGCGCCGATATCCGTCTCCACCCCGCTCAGGGTGATCTTGAATCAAGTCTGCACGATCAGGGTGGGTTTGTGGGCCAGGTGGTACAGACCGTGACGAAGGAGCTTCGCGGGAATCTGGAGGTCCGCGCAAGCGTCCAGGCCGGTCAGGCCAATCCGCCTCACGTGGGAGACGTCCGTCACGATATGGAGGGCCCCGGAAGGGTTCGTCTGCAGGGGATCTGGATGGGAAGTCTCTTTCAAGACGACCGTAGCTTCTGCCTTCTGGCCCAGGCTGGTCGAACGATCGGCTATGTTCATGGTCACCGAATCGTCCACCTCGAGGGAAGTCTGACTGTCTATCTCGTCGAGCATCCATGAGATCAGAGCGCGGCGGCAACCGACCGTCATCACCACGGAATGGGCGACTTGGTATCTGTGATTGGGGACGCATATTGGGACTGCTGAAAGGAGCTCGATCTGATTCCGGGCGTCTGGGAACATTAGGAAGGCGTCCAGACTCCGAAGCCTTCGTGGCCGTTTGCGATGCGGCAGGCGAGTCAGAAATTCGTGGATGCGAGGGAAGCTCAACATCTGTATGAGCTTCAGTGGAAGCAACGGGTTTCTCGCTCGTAGGTTGACTGCTAGTGATCTCAGGAGGCTGTGTGACGGTGGTTTCTTCGCCTTGGCGTGAGGCAGCTTCAGCCTTTTCTGCTGGTTTCTGGGCAGCTTGATCGCTTGTCTCAGTGTCTTTCGCTGATACGTCCATCATCTTAGCGTCTTCGATCTCCCCATCCTCTACCTCGGACTTTTTAGTCACTTCCTGTCTAGAACCCCCTTCAGGCCTGCGCATGAATTTGTTAGAAACTTTTGCTAAATCATGATGTGGTGCCTGGATGTCAACTTACTCCGCGGATGTTGGGGGCTTGAACTCGGGCGCTGCAGCATTCAGGGAAGCTGGTGTGGTAGATCGAGGCCGTGGAGTCCCGGGTTTGCCAGCTGCTGGTGCAGGCCCCTTGCCCGCTGGTTGGTTTGAAACCATGAAGGCTTGTGGTAACATCCATTTCTTCTCTCGACGATTCAGATCGCCAATCAGCGACGCGGCAGGGATTTTCACATCGTCTCGCTCATCGTTTTGACTAAGATTGTTGACGCTAGTGAGCATGTCACGACCAATCCAGTTGACAGCGGGGAAATGCTGCACGACTGCTTTGAGGACACTGATCGCGTTGCGAATATGCATGTATTCGCCCCCATTCAAACAGATCTTGAGTGCGGAAGCCAGAAGCCTGTGCCACTTGTACAGCAGCCGACGGAAGTCCTCGTACTCCAAGAACGTGGTAGGTTTGCCTTCGGGATCGACATTTATGGCAAAACCAGGCAGGTCTTTCTTCGTACCAAAGGCTTCCTTCTCATACACAGCCTTGTCGGCATGCCAGCGACCGAGGTCGCGAATGACCTCGTTCAAGAAGCGGCCAAGATTATCCGCTTCGCGTGAGGTGCATTGGAAAATCAAGGCGGTAAGTCTCTGCTCGCGGAACAACTGATCTAACAGCCCAACGGTACGAAAGTTAGGTGTGCCGGATGTGTGTAGGAACTTCAGCATCTTAAAGCAGTAGAATGCGTCGATGGGCGATAGCAGCAAACGGGGGAGGAAGCATTGTTCCAGTAGGCTGACGTTGAGGGAATCATGCTTCCCGCGCATGCCGGCGAACCACCGGTCCTTTTCCTTCTGCAGCCTTGCCCTTGTCTGACCGTAAGCCTTCAGATGAGCCTTGTTTTCCTCCAAGATGCGTTCCTGAAGTTGGGTTATCTGCTTCTTTTCTCTTTCCTTTCGCTGAGTGCCAGCCATGCTAATGTCCGATCTATCGCTGTTGATGGCCATGACCTTTTTCTTCTGACGTTCGATTTCATCTTCGTAAGCCTTCTGGGGGATATGTACGTCGTAAAGGGACAATTGCCAGAAGATGACGTAAAAATGCAGGCCGACCACTCCCCAAGTCTCGGGCGTCAGGACGGACTTGACCTGTTCCTCGAGATCCTGCATCACTGGGTTCAGAGTTGGACTAGAGGATGCCGGTTGCCCTGGTTGCCCTGAAGTAAGGTTGCTGTCTCCCTCGGTGGTTGCAACTGGTTGCTCCTTGTCAACCTCCATGGAGTTCTCGGCGGAGTCATCCGCAGTGCCGTTCATTTCACCCTCATCTGCTGTTTCCATCTTGTCATCCTCGGATTTGATGGGCGCTGCCTCGATTTCGCGGGCCTTCGTAGCAGCCGCTGCCGCTTCCTCCTCTTGCATTACCTTTTCAGCATCTGCAGCCTTGCGGGAAACGCTGGGTCGGCGGATCCAGAACGCAATCTCAGGCTGAATACCAAATTCCTTGATGAGAGAAGCCAAGTCGGGCACAAAAGAATCAAACTCATCCACGGACAGGTTGCTGCGTAGAAGATCCAGATACTGGGCTAGAATGCGATGAATCTCGTCGAAGACGTTGCCTAGTAACTTGAGTTCGGAATCTCCCTCAGTTGCCTTGTAGATACACGTCCAGCGTTCCTGAGCGATTGCAACAAGCAATTGTCCGGCCAGTCTGGATACCGTCAGAGCCTTCATCAATCGTTTCGAAGTTGTTTTCGATTCGTGCCGTTTGTCCAGTAGCTGTAGGATGGTCTGTGACTGGAGGATCTCGCCACCGGCCATAGCTTGAATCTGCGCGTCGTTGAAGTTTGTATCCGTGATGATACCAGCCATAGAGCTGATCATCTGCTCCAAAATGATAAGATCTGTGGAGTTGTTTTGCCGAAGTTGTTCAACGACATACTGAAGAACAGGGGTAGGATCCATAATAGAGTAGCGCTTATAGGTCCTGCCTGCGAATGTTGCCAACGCGTTTAGCCATCGACTGGTCAACAGCCCGCCTTCCTGCACTCGGCTTCGCCCCTTTTGGCCAAGCGAGTTGATTAGGGCCCAGGTGAGTATGTCATATCCGAGGTATGTGAAGTAGCGCGCACACTCCACCACGACTTCAATCAGATTCTCGTAGGACTCGATCTGGCTGATGGCGACGTTGATCACGATACCGGGATTGGCAAAGGCAATCTTCGCTAATGCGCGAGCCATCGGCCGTATATTTGTTTTGCTCAGCCTCTTGAGAACGTCCTTTGTCTCTGCTCTCGCTTGATCAAAGGCCGACTTGATATCCGGCAGTCGAGATGTTTGTCCAGAATACCATTCCGCGTAGATGTTGTACCTTGTTGCTCTGGGGAAGAACCCAAGAAGATCGAAAACCTCATTCACAACACCGGGGTTTGCCTTGGTCAAACTGATCGCAGGCACCAGGAGACGTTTGCAGAGATCTTGCCAGCGCGCTTTGTTCTCAGGTGAGTCATCTTGAGTGAGACTGAATTTGCCAATCCTCGCCAGCTTAGCTAGCAGACTGGGGTCAAGTCCAATCTTGTGCCCGGAGATATTCAGAAGCGATGAACAAAGAGCAAAAACATCGTCAACAGATTGACAGACTGGGATATTATCGGCCCAATCGTCCCAATAGAATCTATAGTCGGTCCCATCATTCGTGTCGTCCTTGTCGAGCTGAGCCCAGCGAAGGACTCGTCTTGGAGGCGCCGAAGTCAGCCGAATCTGTCCTTTTGCCAGACCTCCCTGATCTTGGCTGGGTATCTGCTGTTGTTCCCTGAGCTCCTCGACCGTCGGTAAGGGACGCAATGAGTTATACACTTTGCTCAAACTGTGATGTAAGATACGGTGAATGTACTCGGGGAGTTCGGGATAGGCATCCATAAGCCAAGGGAATTTGCTTAGGATAAAAAGAGACTCTGGGAGGGCACCGATGGCGAGAAGGCTCTTTAGCAGCATAACCTTCTGATCCGAAGGCTCTGGCAGCTCATCGTCGTCCGTCTTCTGTGGAGTCGCTTTGTCCGCTTCTTGGTCCTTTGCCGGAGTGGATGACCGCTGTTCTGATTCCCGAATGCGTGGAATTGGTAACGTATCGTCCGACAGAGCACCAGCCATCATCAAAGCATTGACACCTCCACCCGGCCGCGCGGCTCTTTCTCTTTCTGCTTTCTCCTTCATTTTTTCCTCCTTCAACTCATCCATCAATTCGTCAGGTCTCCAGAGATGAGGGTACAAGTCGCGAAGCGAGATGAAACCGACTTTGATCAGAAGGGCTGCCAGATAGATGAGGTTGTCGGGGAGGATATCTGACTTGTCCCGCGCTTTCGACGAGTAGAAGCGGAGCTTGAAACCAAGAAGCTGCGCTGCGACCCTGTTCCCTTTGGGGGGTAGAGTCCCTGTCTCTTCGATCCATTTCCGTGTTTCCATCTCTTCTTCTGATAGATTCGTGCTTTCTGGAAATATTCGCTTTCTCTCATCTTCGGAGATCGGCTTCCGTCCAATTTCGAAAAATGCTCGAATACCAGTCTCTCTGACTCTGTTCCAAAACTCGCGGTCTCGCTGCTCATTGGCTCGCATGATCTCAGCTCGCTCCTCGTCCGTTGTGGCCCACCCTGCGGAACCTGGTAGTGCCCAATTGGGTAGGCCAGAATCTCGGTCATCGCCACCAAGAGTGCGGGAAATATCGTCCTTGGGCCACCAGGAGCTAACTCGGAGAAGCTTAACAAAGAAGCGATATTGCTTCACCAGCACAGCGGCGAAGACATCGAGCGTGACATCTAAAACTCGGCCAACGTCCATATCAAAGGCTCCAATCATAGCCTTGACCCTCTCGAAGGTATCTTCAACGACCTCGCTGGTGGGTGGTTCGTTGTTGCTAGTGGTGAATAGCTCGGTCAACAGCTTGGAGTAGCCTTCCGACTCCTCCCGAAGCAAATTGTAGTTGGACTGTCGGTACAGAAGATTGGTTTGTTTACGAATGCCGATGCGAGTGAAGGTATCACGAACAAGACCCAGCGTCTGAAGGACGGGAGTTTCGAGTTGGAGGCGCAGAAGGGCCGCATTGATTCCTGTGGAGAAAACCAACGGTCTCAAGGCAGGATTGGTAGGGTCGGCATCAGTAAGAATAGACAGGGTGTCCAGGAACAAAGAGCGTGTGTCGAGGACTGTTGGTGGTTGCCCGTCGTCAACCATATCGATATCTTGAGCTGCAACCTCTTCACCAATAATCTCCTTGATCACCGATCCGGCGTCCGTGGGCGACAACCGGCCGTAGAATGCAGATCGAATGATTTCCTGGTAGATCGAAGCCAATGTCGACGCATCCTCCTTGTCCCTCACCTGCACGCCATCCGTAATGACCTTCTGTCTTCCTGTTGACGTCCAATCTTCAACTACATCATCTGTGACATATTCGTAATCGTAAGGCGGCGGTGGACCCGGTGGAGGCCTGACGGGAGGCGCAGGCGAGGGCAGTGATTGTGACTGAGGCTTTGGGGATGCCTGCGCTTGTGAAGCCGTTTGTTGTAAGCTCGGCGCAGGAGACGGCGAGGGCGGTATACTAGCTGCTGCTACCGTCGGTGAGAACCCGTTTGTCTGGCTCGCATCAGGCACATCTCTGGCAGGCGGAGACATGGCCGTATCCTTCTGTCCAGTGTTGGCGTTGGGAATGTCATTGCTAGGTCGTCGGCTGAGATTATTACTGTTCCTCCCGCCTCGGCTAGACTGCCTTCGCACCCTACCGCGCGTCTCGGGAAAGTCGCGAGGGTGATTTGAATGCGAGCCGTGATTGTGTTGCGCCATGTTGAGATTGCCCGGTCGGTGGGGGGATGGCCGTAGCCCGTCGTTGCCGGAGTCGCCAGACCACGATCTGTCGCCTCTCTTCCTCTTTCCTCCGGCACCTGGAGCCATGACAGCTTTGTCCAATCTAACACCTCATAGAGAAAACCGCGAAATTTCCGACAGGTCGCAAGTCATGGAGCGGGTCTTTGTAGGTGAAAGTGTCAGTACATGCCAGAAGTCAAAGCAACAACTAAGAGCAGAAATGCATATATGAGATGAAGAGAAATATACGATGGAGAGGACAACCTGCGGTAGTAAATAGTGCGGAAATGAGTTGTGGTGTTGCTGGCTGAATCGATCAAAGAACCGCAGAGAGCTCCAGCAAAACGTAATTCTAAGCATGCAGGAGGATCGCGGCTACAGAGCGATTGGCGCGTTTGGGTCGCTTAAGGTCATTCTCGGCGCTACGCTTTTTAAATTATCCCGCCGCCATTGTAGGTTATTTTCTTCCTCTTTTGTTCCCTCTTTTACTACGATAGCTTTTCTTATTCAAATCTGCTTTCATTACGGAGTCATTCTGCTATTAACGCCTATTTGAATGGAAACGAAACGACCACAGTCTGTTGTTGTCCATTTACAACCACACATCCAACGCAAAAAGCGTAATCGTAAATCATGTTGATCATGCATATCGTTCTGACACTTATATCAGCCCCAAAGCTTTAGCCTCAATCTCCACAATCTGAGGGATAAGGTCCATCAAACTAGGTTGTTGAGGCGACCAGCCGAACAGTTTCCTCGCGCGTATGGCATGGCCGCGCGAGTTGCTCCCCCAAGCATACAGCCCATACTGATTCAGCTCCGTGATTTGCTCGTCTGACAATCGCTCAACATCAGGAGACGGAATGAGCTTCTTCTCGTAAGCCACCTTGGCCACGGCACGCGAAACGTCACCCCAGACAAACGACCCGTTCTCGGCGAGGTAGTACCCCTGCTCGTTCCAGGTGGCCTTGCCGCCTCCTGCCGCCGCGGCATCCCCTAGGGCCAGGTAGACATTGCTAAGATCCTGGACATGCACCTGGTGCCAGGTATTCTTGCCCTCGCCGATGAGGAAGCCCTTCTTCCTTTTCAGGACCGCAGAAGCTAGCCAGTAGGCCTGGACACTCTTCTGGTTGCCAGGACCACGGCCGGGGCCGTAGATGGTAGGGGGGCAGACGATGGCGGTCTTGACACTGTCGGGGGCGCGCTGGCCGGCCCCGATGATGATCTTGTCGACATTCCGGTGGAGAGAGTCGTCGGGCAGGTTCATCAGCTCGTCTACTCCGTCCCAGTCGTTATGCTCCTTGGTGCGCTCGATGCCCCAGGTGTTGGCGCGGAAGTCTTCGACGGTCAGAATGCCGGTGCCAGAAGTATGGATTAGCCAGAGGGGCTTTTCAGGTGTGTGGTGGGTAGCGCCTTTGGCGATAGCAGTGGCAGAAGCAACATGGTCGCAGTCGGCGCAGTCTGTACGTCGTGAGTCTATGGTTCGCTTGTAACAGAGGATGTTCACGTACGGAAGACGATATCTGCATTCTTGACTTCCTCCTCGATCACGTCGGCAGAGTCAAGGTCTCCATGCACGATTCGGACATTGGGGTATTTACTGGCAAGTTGAGCCGCTTTTTCCTTGTTGCGAACCAGAACAGAAATCTGCCAGTCAGGATGTGCTTGGGAGACTGCATAGAAGACATCTCCACCAATGTACCCTGTGACACCTGTGCTGGAAAGCGAGGTCAAACGTGAGTATCATCAAAATAGTCAGGGCCATTGAACATACAGAAAAACCTTAGGAGCCATATTGATTCTTTCTCCGATGTATCTAAATAGCTTGGAGTAGTAATTAAGACAGCAACGCCGCGAGCAACACGTGTGGGAACCTAACCACACTTATATACACCTGCGAGGATTTATAATAATGCAACTCTTGGGCATTTCCAAGTTACACACACCCTTGCTTTGAAATCAAGCGTTAAGATGGACCCTCGTTGCCGCACAAGACTCAATCAGAGCTTCGAGAGCTGTCCAGAAGTGGGGAGCGGGGGCCGACGGAACTTCAGAGAAGAGTATCAGCCCTCCAAATGATTGCTCGGGTATAACATTAGTGAACAAGCTGATTGGAAGTGGAGTGCTTGTTTGGACAGCATTGCATTTGACCTCAGTGCTACCTATCGTCGACAGACATGACATGATACGTGGATGTCAGAAGTACTCCGTACAACACGAGGATGACCCCTCATGACGTCCTCCGCGGTAATCACATCCTCCAAATCTCCAACCCATGGATCTCATCCTCACGGTTCAAAATGTAAATATTCCCCAGTTTATCACCAGCCGAGAGGACAACACAGAACAACATCTCGAGCTTCTTACAAAATGCCATCCGACCTCATCACAGGAAGCTGTGCCTGCCACCATATCACATACACGGCCAGCCAACCCCCGTCAAACATAACCAATTGTCACTGCACCACCTGCCGCAAACAATCCGGCGCACCATATCAGAGCTGGGCGACCTTTGCTCCAGGCTCCCTCACCTGGGACAAGAGCAAGTTGCCCTCATTCCGGAGATCCAGTGCCTTTGCCACCCGAGGGTTCTGTCCAAAGTGCGGATCGAGCGTTAGTATGCAGTATGACTACGAGCCCGAGCTTCTGAGTGTGACTACGGGGACCATTGACAGTGTGCATGAAGCGAAGATCCCGAAGCCGTCTTGTTATCTCTTTCTTCAGGACAAGGTGGCGTGGTTTGATCTGCCTGATGATGGCGCGGAGCGGTGGGATCGGTTTTCGCCGGACATGGCTGAGAGTTTGGAGAAGTTGCAGACGAAGTCGAGCTCATAATGTCAGAAACGGCTGGAAATACTCTTGTGTTGTACAGACAGAACAAATACAGTATCAATGACGGGCGTAATTCATTTGAAACTCAAACACGGCCCGCTCTAGCCTAGGCAAGGACCACAGAAGTAAACTAGTTGTCACAGGGGAATCTTAACAACATCATGTCCATAATCTACAGAAATAGATCAAAATGTGCTGGTGGCTAATCGACTGGCGGCATTCTTGGCATCGAGTCTATCTTCGTCATCGTCCGCAACGATCGAGCCCACGCCGCTGGGAGACCGCAATCGTCCTTTGGCGATGCCTTGCCCGTTAGTCTCGTCGTCCTCATCTGCCACCGGCGCAACGAAGCTACCACTCATGCTGCGTCCGAGGCTGTCACTACGGCGCGGAATCCCACTCCATGCGTCCCCCTTAGGACCTTGACTGGAAGCGAGGTTTGCCCGGCGCACAGCCGGGTGTGCTTCACGACCTAGGCGGCTAAGGCCACCGGACGAGTCGATTGACCGAATGTCCGCACGAACACTTTCGAGAGTAGCCAAAGTTCTCCGCTCTGCTTCGATTTGGCGAAGGGTATACTCGCGTAGACTGTTCAACATATCGTTCGAGGTACGTTCGAACCAGGCACGCTTTTCCAGAAGAAGGTTCGAAGTGACGCGTTGTGTCCGCTTGGTCAGATAGTCCTCATGACTCTGGGCCTCGTCCAGGGCATTGATGGCTTCGTCGACCTTATCAGGGCGAACGGACGAGCTGACTTTCAGTCGATCCGCAGCTGCACGCTTGCTGCGTGTGGCTTGCTGAGCTTGGATGAGTTCGCGCAGAAGGATGTGACGATTAGTCAGTGTTTCCTTAACAATAAAGGCATCTGAGGAATGATAGCTCAAGGGATCTTCAAGTGTAGTCGCCTCGGCGGTCGCCTGGACCGCGTGGAAGTCTCCAACCGTTTGAATAACCTTTCCCAATTTCTTGTAGGCATTAGCTAGGCCAGGGTGTGTCTCTTGCACGTGCATCTGCCCTAATTTGACGCCGAAATCGGATTCAGCGAGGCCAAGTCCTGAGCGGAATTTGTGTTAGTGAATTTTCTTCCAGCCAAAGAGACATCAAGCCACCTACCTCGACGAGCCTTAACCACGCGGTCAACCTTATGACTGGCATCCATAGTTCCAAGGTAGAACATCTTCACAACAGGCCGAGCATCCTGCAGTTCAGGGGTATCATCAGGCGGCGGGGCGAACTGCTTCAGGACCTTCCTCCGAACACCTGTTGCAGGCTGCTTCATTCGAACGACAGGACTATAACCAAAGTCGCTTTCGACAAACAGAACCACCTCGTCATCCTGCATAAGAATCTCATTGCTCATAACAATGTTCAGCCACCGCTGCATCGATGCCTTGACTCGGATCTCGTCCTCTTCGGTCCCTGCCCCGGCGGGGGTCAATGGAGGCGGCACGGCGGGGACGAGAACCTCCGGGTTCGCGGAGATCAGATGGTCCGCTAGTTTTGTAAACTCGGCATGGGTACGCCGAACGTCTCGGTACTGTGTCGTCCTAAATTTGGGAACATTTGTCTGATGGCCGGCGTCAGTTTCTTTGGCTGCAGGCGAACAGTCTGCCACAAGAACGCCGCTTACATGAACATCAAATCGAAGGATCGGATCCTTCTTCCCCGTCCTCTCCAGTCCCGTAATTTTAGCTTGGATCTTATACGCAGGCCCAGTTCTGGTACTCTGTCTGGCTCCGGTTTGATAGCGCGCGGGGAGCTGAGACCGAGGCTCATTCGTATACTGGGCTTGTGTAGCGTACGGTGGCTGCTCAATAGCATAGTCAGGGTCTCCTAATTGCGCACTTTGAAGTCGCGCAGATAGATCAGGCGAGTCAGGGGCTCCGTTCTCGGACGATTTTGGTCCGGAGTCATCGCCCTCCTGGTCGCCATTGTAACCGGGCTGATGGTGCGGGGGCAGCGGCGAGGAGGGAATATCGCTGTTGTTGTTGTTGGATGCAGTGTAAGATGTCTGAGTCGCTCGAGGAGATGCCCAGGGATCAGAGCCCGAGGGATGATCCGGATCCTGAGTTATGGCCGAGTAGTCCATGGGATGTTATGTATGCCTCAGGCGGATTAGGTAGTCTTCAGGCTCCGATGGAACCACGTCTACACGGAGATGCGGGCGCGACCTTGTTAGCTCAGGCGACGACCAGGGAGGTTGAAACTGAATTGATATAACAATACCTGTAGGCCTTTAGGAAAACCGATTGAAGTATTTGGAAAGATCAGGAGAGAAAAAAAAGCCGCCACGACGTGGAGAAAATGAGGAGACGAGCTCTGCCTAGAGAGGGAAGCGTTGAAGATGGGGGGCGGAGGTAGTGTAGTACTGCCTTACGTCTGCTGGGGAGAATCGGCGCCTGATTGGCCAGGCATTCAACTCACTGATCTGTCTCTGAAGAGAAGAATAAAGTATCACCTATTCTGAACCATTCTCCCTCGGGCAGTTTGGTTTATCTCTTCTATTCCTTTCTCTTTTCCCATCATTTAGTCTGGAATTATAATGAATACTTTCAGTTGAATGAGTATATATTGTCAATGATATCCGGTCATGGTTGCAGCTCCTTTCCTGCGCAGCTTTCCCCAGGCGGTGCGATCCAATCGTCCTAGAGCAGCTGTTGATGCTGCCAAGCGCCTTGGGTTGGGAACAGGACGAACCACGATCTCTAACAAAATATGTTTGCTTCGGAGTCAATATCAATCAAAGGGCTTCTCGACATCTACATCAAAATGGCAAGAGATAATTCTGGACCGAACAAGGAACATTGGCATCATAGCCCACATTGATGCAGGCAAGACGACCACCACGGAGCGTATGCTCTATTATAGTGGCTTTACTAGAAGGATAGGAGACGTCGATGAGGGCTCTACTGTCACTGATTTTCTCCCTGCTGAGCGTGCGCGAGGAATCACTATTCAATCAGCGGCCATTACCTTCCACTGGCCGCCAAGCGCTGGGGAAAGTGATAAGAACGAAGTGCAGACCCCAAGATCTGCGATATCGCATACCATTAATCTGATTGATACTCCTGGACACGCGGACTTTACATTCGAGGTCCTACGATCGTTGCGCATCTTGGATGGCGCAGTATGCATACTCGACGGTGTAGCTGGTGTCGAGGCGCAGACGGAACGAGTCTGGCACCAGGCAAGCACCTATCGCATTCCCCGGATTGTCTATGTTAACAAACTAGACAGAGATGGGGCTGCATTTGGGCGGACGGTCAGAGAGGTAGGCTCCCGACTAGGGGCCTTCCCGGCTGTGTGCCAGATTCCGTGGTTTGAAAACGGCGACGGTCGCTTTGTTGGCGTAGCTGACGCGATCAACCTACAAGGCCTTCGATGGCAAGACGGAGACGGCAAGGTAGTCAAGATGCTGAGCCTTGCGCAGCTAGATGCCGAGGAGGCCCAACTCGGTAAGGAGCTCCGACGTGCCCGGATCGCGCTTGTCGAACTGCTGAGCGAGCACGACGAGGCGATGGTGGAGAAGTTCCTGGAATGCGATGAGGACCATCTTGCCGTTCCTCCGCAAGACGTCCTGGAGAGTCTGCGCCGGTGTCTCCTCGAGGAGCCAGGAAGCAACATCGTCCCCATTTTTGCGGGCGCTAGCTTCCGCAACATCGGAGTCCAGCCCCTGCTGGACGCCGTGGTGAACCTCCTTCCAAGTCCGCTCGAGGCCCCCGATCCGGAGGTCAGCATTGGAGGGGTTCAAGGAGGGTTGCAGCGCCTTCTCTCGGGCGAACTCCTTGTGGAGTCGAGCGAAAAGTCCCAATCTCCCAAGGGCAAGCAGAAGAAGAAGGCTGTCGCGCATGCAGAGTCCCAGAATGTGATGAAGAACCTGCAAGGATGCGCCCTGGCCTTCAAGGTAGTCCACGACGCCAAACGAGGTGTTTTGGTATATGTGCGGGTGTACTCTGGATCCCTGGATCGCAACTGCGTCCTGTTCAACACCAACCTCAACGTCTCAGAGCGCGCTCCGCGCTTACTCAAGATGTACGCCAACGATGCGGTGGAGGTGGATTCGATTCCAGAAGGACACATTGGTGTCGTGGTAGGCCTCAAACACGCCCGGACCGGTGACACCCTCGTCTCCTACGCGGGAAACAAAGCGACACCACCAGAGCCACTGAATACCCTGCAGTTGCGGCCCATCAACGTGCCGCCTCCCGTCTTCTTCGCCAGCGTCGAGCCCCACAGTCTGAGCGAAGAGAAGAAGGTGCAGGAATGTCTCGCGCTCCTCCTGCGAGAAGACCCTAGTCTGCATGTAACCGTGGACGAGGACTCCGGGCAGACCCTGCTGAGCGGAATGGGCGAGCTCCATCTGGAGATTGCTCGCGATCGCCTGATCAACGACCTCAGGGCCAAAGCAACCATGGGTCGCATTGAGATCAGCTACCGAGAAACGCCTCTGGGCCCGTCCCCCGCCGTAACCAGGATCTTCGACAAGGAGGTCGCCGGCCGCAAGGGCAAAGCCGGCTGCACGGCCCTAGTCGAGCCATTCAACCCAGACACATCACCCGTCCCTGTACCCGACGCTCTAGCTGTCGAGAGCCGCGACGGGAACCAAATCATCATTCTCGCCCCCGACCTCCAAATCGAACGCACCAAGAAAGGCACCGAGGAGAGCCCCTTCCTCCCACCCGGCCTGGACGTATACACATTGCGCACCGCCCTGCAAAACGGCTGCCTGGCTGCCCTCGCCCGCGGGCCCCAATTCACCTTCCCCATGCACAGCACCCGCGTTACTCTCACCCTCGACCCGGCCGCACACATTTTTGGCACCGACACCACCCCCTCCGCTCTCTCCGCCGCAGCCCGCCTCGCCACGTCCGCCGCACTTCGCGATCTTCTCCCCTCGCCCACCCAGCCAAGTCCAGGAACCTCGCTCATGGAGCCCGTCATGAACGTCATCATCAGCGTCGACGAAGCCAGTCTCGGCGCCATCGTCCACGACATCTCCGCCTCCCGCGGCGGCCACATCGTCTCGCTCGACGAGGAAATCCCTATCACAGCTACGGATGCCTCGCCAGTGGGTGCGGGCGCCGAAGAACCCGTCGTCATCGACCAGAGCCGGATCTACGCACCCCCGGATCCCTTCGAGACGCCCTCCGTCGGCGTCGAGATCCCCACCGCGGTGAACCGGCCCCGCACCATCACGGCGAAGGTGCCGCTGAAGGAGATGGTGGGGTACCTGAAGCATCTCCGCAGTCTGAGTGCGGGTCGGGGCACGTTCGTGATGTCTGTCGATCGGTTTGAGGTTATGAGCCCGCAGAGGCAGAAAGCTGTGCTGGCGGAGTTACGCGGGGGCTTTTATTGATAGGTAGCTCCAGCGCGCCCCTGCTGTACTATAAAATGTATACTACGTGTTCTACTACTCCCGTCATGATAAGTTGTATGTGTATGTACTTTTTGATGGCAGATGGAGATGTGCTTGCCGTCTCAGCTGGCATGTAACGTAGCAGGATAAAACGCTCATTGAAATGACAATCGTACTCTAAACCATCAAAGAACAATCACCCCCATGTACATACTCACCAACCGAAGGCTACCAATTATCATCCCACCCTCCCTCGTCACCCCCTCTTCCACCCGAAGACGCCGTCCCCGTCGCATTCCCCGATCCAGTACCAGACGACCCCCCAGTCGGCCCACCACCACTAGGCCTAATAGCCGTCGTCCCAATCGCACTCGACCGCGACGTATTCCGGCGGTGAGTATCCTGCTCCCCCAACGAAGCAAACTCATCCCAGAAATCCTTCCGCTCAGGCTCCTGGCGCCGGCGGGCCGCCGCCGCCGCGCCCTCATCAGGTCCTTCAACGAAGCGAGTCAGATGGTCCGCGGCGCCGCGGGCGCCAACCTGGATATTCTGGCCCAGCTGCGCAGCCTGGAGCCGGGCCTGGGCTGCGAATTCCGATTCAGCTATCTAAAACACACATTAGTCTACGCTTCCCATATAGGACAGTTGCTACGCTTTCAAGAGGGGAGGGGTAAGGTACCGTCTTCGCCGTAGGCTGGATATACATCTCATTGACCGTCTTCGCGCTCTTCCCAACAGCCGTCGTAAACCAACCAAGCCCCTTCGTTAGCGCGCCGACGGGATCCTTCTGGAACTCGTCTAGGCCCGGCACCGGCCCGCGCGCGGGTGATGTCTTGGATCCTGCCGTGGGGGGCAAGCCGCCGCCGAAGCCCGTGAATTTCCCGCCCTGCGAGGGCGGCAGGGAGGCCGAGCGCGCTGCGTTCTCGGAGCCCAGTTTGGCGAAGTATGCCTCGTTGCGATCTTTCCTGCTTGCGCCGGCGGGGTCGAGGCCGTCGTGCGACGCGGGGGAGCCGGCGCCGCTGCCCCTGTTTGTGTTCGTGAATGGTGTGCTCGAGCGTGATGTGGATGGCTCCGCGGCTGGCATTTTGGGCTTCGGTTGGCCGGGGACGTATTCGCGGCCTTCGACGGTGGCGGAGAGTCTTTCCTTCCATTCTTCGCCGACTTCGCCTTCGTACCGTTCCTTGATGGTGGAGTCTTCGAAGGTCCGGCCTTCGGACTGCGTAATGGGGTGGTTGTCGTAGAATGTCTTCCAGGGGTCGTTGCCTCCGTTCTCCATGCGGAGGATCTCGGAGGTCTTGAAGGCGTCCATGGTGATGGAGCGGACGAAGGAGATGTGCACACCTAATCCGCGATGCGTGCCGGCGCAGTTGAGGCAGATGAAGGTTCCGAATTTAGGGGAGGCCTGGACAGGAGTGCCATGTCAGACTACTGTCCACGTATCCAGCTATGTGCATTGAAGCAATGGTGCGGGGGTTGAGGGTGAGGTCAAAGAGTGAACGAACCCATTGGGGCGAAGGAGCACCGCAGTCGCAACATTTGTCGTTTCCATTCGTCTTGGATATTTGAAGAAGCTAATTAGAGAAATCGTCAGAGTCAACCAGGTTATCTCGATATGTGACAATCGCCGCAAAATGAGGAGACACATGCATACCTTGGCCTTCGTCTCTGGATCAACTTCCCACATTCGAGACATGCTGTGTGGCCTAAATCACAAACAGACGGCGATAATGAAAAAAATGAGAGCAGATCAGAAGACAATGGCTCTATCAACCCCCTAAACGCACTGGTGTGTTTGGAGTCGGAGCCGTCGCCGGTTCCCTAATTCAAGTTATTGGCGGGCCGCCCCCTCCACAAAAGATATTTGGTGGCCACAATGCAAGATTTAGAAGAATAGAGCAATGAGTTGGATAATGATAGACAAAAGGCAGACAAAAGATATATTGATCCAAATATGTCAGAACGAATGAATAGTGTCTATCCGCCCAAGGATGAAGATTGGTTGACTTCAGGCACCTGGTCGAGAATGAGCGCCAAGAGGTCTCCGTCGGACTACCGCATATGACGGAGCACAGTGAAGATACCACGCAAAACGATCAAACCCCACTTATCAAGATTCATAATTACGGTACTGATGATTCTACAAAAACAAGAAGACATTCAAGGCCAGCCTTGCGGCATATTTCATAAGCTAAATGGTGGCTAAGATACAATACAGCGAATAAAGGCAAGATTCGTTAGAAAAGGTCGAGTCTCCCGTCATCACGAGATCCTACGCCGTTGGTCATCTCTCCGGGTAGGGAAGCCAGTTTGGCTGTCCCATATAAAACAAAGGAAAAAAACATCATCATCAGTCGGAGCTCGTCCCCTGACCAAGTCGAACGGAAATGATATCCACAGCTTTCTTTTGATCGAGAAAAAGAAAACTTTTGTCGAAAAGAGCATCTTCACGATGCTTACATATGAATATAATTATCCATGCGCATTGGCCATCACCCCTGCACCATCACTGACCCCGACTGACTTTCATCAGCCGAGAAACGAGAAACTTGTTCTGGAATGGAACGAGCTTGACATTTAAGCAGCAGCTGGGGGAGTGTTCTCCTGCTCCTCAGCAGCAGGAGCGGCAGCCTCAGTCTGCTCACCGGTGGGGACGGCGTCATCCTCCTTGCCGGGGCTGTCGATGGCGACCTTGACGGCAATCTCACGACCCTCAATCTCCTTGCCATTCATCTCCTGAACGGCCTTCTCCTGGAGCTCCTCAGAGCCGAGAGTGACGAAACCAAAGCCACGACCTTTACGACGCTCGTTGCGGGCCTGGAGCTTCTTGATCATGAAACGAGGAATCGGGCGCAGGGCAATCTTGGCGGAAACAGGCTGGTAATCGGCAAAGATTTCCTTGAGCTGAGGAAGGGTTAGTAACCAAGCTCAGGTTAACTCAAGAAAGATACGTACCTTGTCCTCGGTCAGATCATAGGGCAGGTTAGCTACCATGACCTTGGTCTTGGAAGGGATGCCATCCTCGGGGGGGCCACGCTGCTTCTGAGGACGAGGAGCACGAGGCTTGCCAGTCTGCTTAGCGGACTCGGCAGCACCGGCATTAGTAGCCTCGTCGGCGACCTCGGTCAGAGGGTCAACCTGACCGGGAACGTTGGTAGGAGCCTCAGTAGTAGCGGGACCGTTCTGTTGGTTCTTGGTCATTTTGTCAGCAAGAAGTTGGGACACCAGTTCAAAGTGTAAGGGGAACTTACGCGACCTCCACGACCGAAGCGACCTCCACGGCCACGGCCGCGACCACGACCACGGGCACGACCACCTGCCCGCTTGCGGCCTTCAGTGCCACTGGCGCCCTCACCGCCACTTGTAGCACCCTCCGCCTTAGCCTCGGCAGGCTCTGGCTTGCGGGCCAACTGAACAGAGACCTTGCGCTGAAGGATCTCCTTTCCGGAGAGTTCCTCGATAGCAGCAGTGGCCTCGTGAGCAGTGGCGAGATCCACAAACGCATAGCCGACAGGGCGGTTAGTGCGGGGATTCACAGGAATGGAGGTGCTTTCGCTGTAGAGAAATCATGAGTTAGAATTTGAGTTCATTTACGAGAAATAAAAAAAAAAATTCAGTTTAATGGAGCGATTCAATTCCCAAGTGTAGCTTTTCCAATGAGTGGCGCGGTGGTGGGCTCAGTGCTGTGACACACGTGGCGGCATCTACCCCAACAGTAGTAGCTGTGCTACCCGTTCCCGCAGCTACCAGCGCACTCAAGGATCCAAAGCGAAAACAGAAGAACTGAAGCCCAAGCAATGGCCGCAACTCACATCTTGTAGTTCTTGAAGAACTCCTTGAGCTCCCCCTCAGTGGTCGCGTAAGCGAGGTTCCCAATATACAGCCGACGTCCCTCATCGGCACTGACCGCTGCAGCATCGGTGGCCTGAGCCGGAGCAGGAGCAGTACCGTTGGTGGCCTCGGTGGTGGTAGGGGCCTGGTTGTCGGCTTGGTTCTCGGCGGCAGCAGACATCTTGAAAGACTGATGACACGAAAGGTAGGTGTGGTGTTGTTGAACGGACTTGACGAGATGCACGGATGTGGTTGATGTGTCACGGACTCAGGGAAAGCTTGAAGTGGCCTGCCTGTTCTTTTTGGACTTGACGTTTGACTTGACTTGATCGGTTGGGACCGGAAGAACTTGAAGAGGGGGGTGGAGGGAGGAAAAGGGTAGCTTGGTGCCCTAGATACGGAAAGTTGAGGGGGAAATCCTGGGTTTGATCTCAATTGAAGATTTGCCTTGGGAGGGAGAATGGGAAGTCGAGACGGAGAAAGGAGAAGGCGAGAGAAAAAGGGTAGCAGCAGCGGGCGGTGGCACGCTAGTCTGTTTATGGTAGGTTGATGCCTGAGGATATGGTTTTCATAGCGCCCCGTCTGCGGTGCTCTCGGGGGGCGGTGAGCCCTGAGTCATCGGCGGTTGGCCCCTAAGCCTTAGGCATTGGATCCACCTAGGCCTTCCTAGGCCTTAGGGGGATCGAAAGGGCTCTCTTAGCTTCCATTAAGGACTCGTCCGCCAAAGCAGACCACGGGAAGTCAGGTTCTGGACAGTGTTGACATCACCGCTATCCACTCTCCGGTGGCTAGTAGGCCTTAGTGTACCAAACATTGGAGCAATGTAGTCGGGTTAATAGTTATTACGGTGAGCTATGGTACGATTCACGAATTTCATATGCTATTTGTCATGCCAACCTAGGTCAGACCGGAGTAAACATGCTGGATTCATGGATAACGAGTAGAGAGGTATTGTGTTCTGCATTACCGGCGAATGCAGCCAAGACCACTACGGCAGATCGCAAGACTTGACAGTTTTAGGCAGTGAGCTCGTGCTCGTATCTGGGTTGGGCTCCACAGTCTACCAAACCCACAGCACTTTCGATCGCTGTTGACTGCCATCCATGAATTTCCTTAGCGATTACCGTCGAATCGGATGTCTCCATGGTCTTTTGTCCCCCACTTGCAAGACCCCATTGTAGCTTGCAGTATGCTGAGCTTCAACGACGACTCCTGTTCTCCAGCCATCGACGCTCCACCAGCTCAACTTCCTCCTTGATCCTGGCATGCAACTCTTCCCATGTCCCATCTAGGAATACGCGATGAGAGATTCCGAGCGCTGGGTTTTCGCAAAGGGTCTCAACCATCTGTGTCTGCAGCCTTGCCCCTTGGCTTGGAGTGAAAATGGTCGTCCGGGTTGGCGGCTGCATCATCTGGTACATGCGTCCTCTTGGTTTCAGCACGCTCAAGTAGTACTTCCACCACTCATGGATCATCATATTACCAAATTGAGCTGTGGTGAGATGCTCTTTCTTCTTCCAGTTGAAATCGGGGTCACCCAGGATGGCAAAGATTAGCGCGCAAAATGCCACAGAGACTTCAGGGACTGTACATCCAGGTTCTTGCGCAAACAATTTCCAAGGGAAGTTTTGTGTGACCGTCCACGCCATGTCTCTGAAGAATGATTCTGTGTAGGGGTTTGCCCGCTGGGTACTGTGCTGTATATTTGGTCGATTTCCCGCCTGTATACCAGATGGACTTTCAGGCTGCCTGACAAAGGGTGCGATAGGTTGAGTGCCGCCAAAGTGTCCCACAGGCGGAGTGGAGTACTGAGCTCCAGGTCCAGCATCAAATGGCGCGACAGGAGCGACAGGAGGGACAGGCCAACTGCGGTGCTGAGCGTCATACTGACCAACATTCTGCGTATAGCTTGCTTGGTGACTGCTTGAGTCTTTGACTGGAACGGTCGAGTCTATCTTCTGGCTAACGTTGATGCTTCCAACAGCCTTATCATTTGCATTAAGGCTTGATTCATTTGTCTGAACGGCATGAATTTTTTCTTCCTCTGGGAGTTTCGCCTTTTTGACGACACTAGGCCCTGGATTGCTGTTCGTCCTTTTGCTGGTCAGCCCGGACTCTTTCTTTGCTTGTAGCTTAGGCCCTTTGACTGTAGCTAGTGAAATACATTAGCACTTCTTCCTCGGTATCAATCGGCTGGTTGGTACCATTGCAGAGTCTCTTGGCCGTTTTCGCACCTGTATCAGACTTGAGGGTCCGAGTTGTCTTCTTCTCAGTCATTGTCCTAGTTAATTGGAATCCGATATGTAGATGACTGATGTGCTGTTGCTGTTGCGGTGTTACTCCCTCGTCCTCTGATATCATAGCCTGACACTTACTTATGCTGGGACTGTTTCGGACAGTAGTGTGCACTTTACTCCAAGGGTTAATTGCAAAGCACAGCTCTTAGGAGAAGTGTCTGCATAGAAGGCAGAGAGTATAGCACGGTAGATGTATACAGAGTAGATAAGGGCTCTTATATATTTATCTAGAGGAGTCTGTCAGTGAATGTAGGATAGATTTACTATAGTGAATTCTCCCACTACCACTATTCTTGCTTGGTTAAGACATGCTTAAGTTTAGGACATTCACTGTGCGAGAATAGTTATCTATTTAATCTGTGCTTTTCGACTCAACATACTACTCTAGTTGTGTCTTGTTAACAGTCAGGCAATTCAAGGCCTCAGGCATCAACTCTTTTTTCTCCAGGTGCAGCTTCGAGTTCAAATAACTCGACGTCAACAGTGATCTATTATTGCATATTATATTACTGTGGCTTGTGATAATTAATACAGCAAGTCTGGATGACAAAGTGCGAGATGAAGTAAAATTGTGCTGGCCAATCCTTGGAGAGACCATGGTGTGCCAGGACGATCTCCTCTTGCGCCTCGACGTCAACCAGACAAGGACATCGCTAGCTGTGGAGACTGCACCACTGCAGACAACTCTTAGTGACGGGAATTCGAGGGGCAGATTGATAAGCCCAGAGAGAGCCATGGATGATACCCCATAAGGCCTTAAAGTGACTGATTAGTCACGGAGTCCGGCCTTCTTTCGGACATCCTGAATGGCTGGTTAGTGGTTCAGGTCCTGGTTCTCAACCATTGCCTTGGCCAGTGTCCAACATCCATTTTGCCTCTGCAAAACCTTCTTAAACTCTTCCCTGTCCTCTGCACCTCCTCTTCGAGAAAAAAGGGAACTACACTCGTCTTTTCTCTTTCAGTTATCCCCAATGGATCGCATAGAGCCTGTGGGCGGCTCTTCCGATGCCTCCGAGGACCACCACCCGCCTTCTTCCAACGATGCGATACCTGGAGGGACAACGTCATATCTCCGACCGCGCGCTCCGTCACTCCGCTCGCGCCGTCCAAGTATCCGCATCCAACGCCCACCCTCAATCAATAGCCTCAACCTACAGGCGCAGGTAAATGCGGACAAGAGTAATACGCTGAGCGTGGACTCTGAGGACGCATTAAATTCTCGAAGAAATTCTCATATCCTAGGGCCCGACGCTAGCAGAGCCGTTCAGAATGATGGGACAGCGAATGATGGAACTCGCGATGGAGATGATGGCGATGCTGTCTGGCAGGGCCGCCGGCGTAGCAGCTCCGAGCCTCGTCCAGGTCGTTGGTCGGCGTCCACGTCGTTCGTCCCTCCGTTGTTGACGACAGGTGATCAGACGAACGCGATGCCCATGTATTCTCTGAAGGAGGAGCCGTCAAGCCCTCAAAGTCCAATTGCCGAGCTTCCTTCTTCCCAGCCCTTTTCGACAGCGCTCCTTGAGCCTCCTCCACCGGTAATTCCAAGAAGAGGAAGCCGGAATGTCTTGCGTCGGACCAGCGAAGCAGCTCTCAATCGGTTCTCGCGGAATCGCGCGTCAACTGTCAATGGCGCTGTTCCTGTCACCCCGCCTCCGAATCCGAATGTCAATGAATATCACCCTCACATGGTAGATGTGCTGGACGTTATTGGTGAGTACTTCTGAGCGAAGATTTATATGCGACCAGTTGCTGATCAGGGTACACTCTGCAGACCCCGAAGTAGCGGCTTTATCTACCCTCACCAACGTGCAAAACTCTCTCTTTGTTCCCAACCTAGGTAGTTGGATCAACCGCATGCCCACATATACCCTCTCGCCGCCCAGCCCTCGCGATGAGTCAAGTACAGAGGCCGAGGAGGGTGAAACAACAGAGACAGACACGAAACAGACCCGTCCGACATTAGCCACCCGCCTTTCCTCTGTGCTAGACGAGGGCCCCGAGCGCCAATTTGCTGTTCTCCCCGAGGAAATGACTTTGGAAGGATGGACGAAGGAAGAGATGGAGGAGTTGAACGATCGGGTCAGACATATGTTACATTCGCGACGTTCTGCGTTCAAGCGGTCTATGGTTGGATTTGGCAAATACGTATCGAGACGTAAGTCACTTGACGCTCATGTTTACGGTGCTCGTGTGGTTCGTGGCTGACAGAAGTTTTGTCGACAGCGCTCGGATTTTTGGTTACTTTATACGCAACTCTCATCACCCTTTTTGGTCTCGCCTGGGTGCTTTTCCTTATTGGTATGGCCTCCTCCTTAGGTATTACCGAATCCAGATGCTAACATACACAAAGGCTGGATAAATGTGGGAGGAAGGCAACTCTACGTCATCAATGTCATTGACAACGTCCTCGTGGCTTTATTCGCTATCATGGGTGACGGGCTGGCCCCCTTCCGAGCCATCGACACCTACCACATGATCTTCATCGCGCACTACACCTTTCTAACCTGGAAGATCCGTAAGAAGCGCGACCTCCCTGCGCTCAGGGACAAGAACGACCTCCCCGAGCGCCGCGAAGCAGACGTCGACGTCGACATCGAACTCGGCGACTCCCCCAAGGATGAAGAGCACGAGTTCTCCGTCCTCAACTCCACCCAACAGCGCAAACTCATGCACCACCAAGAGAAATTCGCCAAATCCCACACCTTCTACAAGCCGCACGAAACATACACCCACCACGCCTTCCCACTACGCCTCCTCATCGCCATCGTCGTCCTCCTCGACTGCCACTCCCTCTTCCAGATCGCCCTCGGCGCCTGTACATGGGGCATCAACTACCACGTGCGCCCCTTCGCCCTCACAACCGTCATCCTCTGCTGCTCCATCACCTGCAACATCATGGGCGGCGTCCTGATCATGATCGGCGACCGCCGCACCCGCAAGAAGGACGTCGTCGAGCGCCTCTTCCGGCAACAGCTCACCGAGGAAGCCGCCAAGAAAATGCAGAAGAACAAACGCAAGGAGGAAATGCGCAAATCAATCGAGCTGAGGAAGTCCTTGGATCAGTCTCGCAAGTCGCTCGATCGAAGTCCGTTGAAGGTTATATCCTAGCGTTGACTGCATCATTCCTCTGCCTCTTTCCGCTGTCTGCTATATTATGAAGACTACGAGTATACCCGATCGCTCTGGGCATCGGTGCGCCCCGTCGCCATGTACTAATATCTGCCTGTGCGATCACCTATTCACCCTATCTAATTACCTGCAGTTTACATCTCACATTATATATGTGCATTATAATAATGGCTCTGATTTATAAGCATCTTGGAGTTGATTTGGATTTCATGGTCTCTCTGTGTGCTTGAGTGTTGCTATATAGTTTGTTTGCTTGACAACTTCCTAGCGATTTTTCTGCTGAGTTAAGGGCCATTTAGAGCTAGAGCATTTTTTTTTTTTTTTTTTCCTTTTGGTCCGAATCTTGATGTGATTGCTCCAACTCCATAAGCCTCCATGCCTCGTAACATGATTTCATATCTCTCATTACGGATCTACCAGCGGTAGTGACCTCAAATTGTACCTTGACAAAAGATTTTGCATTCTATGCACTGAGCGAAGTAAAAATCGTCCTATACAACCCAAGAGAGTGTCCGAAAACAAGAGATAAAAAGAAATAAAAGCGAGAGGTGATATGGACATGCAGTTGGCGCTCATTTACAAGACTTTCAAATGCCAAAGGAAACTATCGAGGCTCAAGCAAACTGTACAGAGATACGAGGAAGGAGACAATTGCTGGGGGAAATGTGAGACTGGATCTCACGCCAATAGCTGAACGCTGTTAAACATAGATTTTGAGAAATCAAGACGAAAGTTCAGTCATCTCGGAGAGCAAACGACCCGCTGGACAAGGTTATGGAGGTACGGAAATTGAGAGGGAAAATGAATCCAAGTGAGTGGCACGTCAAGTCTCGGTTGATCGCCAACCAAGGTGTCGGACGTGGGATTTGATAGGTGTGTGAGAAACGGCTGTGATGCATTCCATGGGCATTCACAGTTCACGATGTAGAGCCTCATCGTCGGTAGTCTTTTGCGAATTTCGTCTGCTCAATATCTCTTCGAGGACGTCGAGCCGCTCGCGAGTAGTCCTGATAGCATGGTTCATCTCGCGATCAGACATCCTCTCATTGCGCAGCTTATCCTGTAGCTGAGAGGAACCCTGGCGCAGCTGGGTATCGGTGGGTCGGTTAGCTGCCGGAAAGGCCATCCCTTCCATGCCAACTCGATCCTCCAGCCAGCTCCAGAGTTCACTCTCCTCCCTTCGCCACATTTCTTCATAGGCAGCCAGCCGTTGAGGTAATGAATAACCTGGACATCCAATATCATGCGACACCCGCGACGTTTGAGAAGGGCTTCGGAACAAGACCATGAAAAGCAGAATGCCAATAACCAGAATAGCAATATTGCCACTCAACACCGGCTTGAGGATATCCACAACAGGGCCAAGGAGCCCATGAACCGGCTCCAGAAAGCCCCAAGACTTGGCCTGCGACACAGTCGCATCCTGAGTTGTGTTAGAGACCACAGTGGCTGCCTCTTCGGCCCCTGTATCGTTCTTTCTACGTTTACCAGTTTTACCGCCTGCTTTGGTAGCGCCAGCGCCACGAGCACGGGGAGCAACAGCGGCTTTGAGCGCAGCGACAAGCTCGTTGCCGAACGTCGTTTGGCCATCAATGGCACCCTTTTCGATAGGACCTATATGTTCTTAGGGTTAGTCTACGTTTATCAAGCTGCGAAAACAGATATTACCTTTCAACCAACTCTTGCCCGACCATTCAATCGTGCAGGTCATAAAAAACCGTGTTTGATTGCCCGGTGCCCACGTGAACAAATATTTGGTCTTGGTGCAAAATACATTCCCACTGGGCACATCGGGAGTCTGCGTCGAAAGGGTGACGAGAACAGCTTTCTCTAGGTCCAGAAAATCCAAGGTTTCAGTGCTGATGCACTTGGTCTGCTTGGGACCAATGGAGCCATTGAGCGGTTTGATGTATGAGTACTTCCTGGTTCTGCTTTCGTTTGTAAGACCTTTCGTTTCACTCTCGAACTGGAGTTCGCCCGACTTCTGGTTTTCAACAAGGAACTTGGGAATGAACGAGCCGGATGACGGCCCAAAGACGTAAGAATATACTTTACCGAGAGGGGCTGGGATGACTTCGTCTTTGATGACTTTGTCATACTGGCCGTTGGGCTCGGTATACTCCGTTGGCGGGTGAGTCGCCGGGCCCGGGAAGTCAGCGTCTGCATCCCCACCTGGACTCGGTTTGCCAGACTTCGACTCTCCGTTGGAGTTGGGCACCGCAGCCGGCGCTGTACCATTGCCATTCTGAAGCAGACCAGAGGCTTGCCTGCTCAGACCTTTCGTAGGGAGTGAGCGCTCGCTGGCGTTCGCACTGGCGCCTCCTGGTCCGAAGACGCTTTCAGCATTGTCACCCTCCTCATCCTCATCGTAGATCTCTTCGTCCTCGTCATCATCGCTCTCAACTTCGCTCTCGCCAGCCTTTTCGGTTTTATCACCGGTACCGGTCGCAACCCTTGTTCCGTTTACGGAGCTCTTGAGGGCCGGGTGGTTGATCTTCCAGATGTTCACCATCAGGTCATACGTGGACTCTCGACTGAGTAGACTTCGGAAAGTATGACGAGCGTGCAATGTCTGGATGGCTATTGCATTTGGAAACACCATCGCAGTTGACTCTTTCTCTATGGCCACGATTTCATCGAAACTGATAACGAGAGTGGTAACCCAGCCAAGGATGTTGCTGGAGAAGCAAATGTGCCCTTCGGAGATGTAGATACGCCCCGCCAGGATGATCTCTCTCTGCAATGCACAGCTGTAATCTTCAATTAGGTAGTCATCCTCGGGAACACTACGGAACAGTTGATGGAAATCCCGGTTTCTCTTCTTACTCGCCACAGCGAACCCTGTCAGGCGAGGAACACTGGCATTGGCGCCCGGTACCCCCAGAGCAATAGCGCTAGCACCAACCAGTCCCACCGTTGATGCGGTCGCACCGGAAGAGCCTCGATGACGCCTCTGAGCCAGTCGACTTCGCACGCTTCCGCTTCGATGAGGCCGAGTGCCAGTGTCGCCCTCGAATATGCTGCCGCTCGGAGTGGTCTGATCACCATCCGCGCGTGAAAGGGAGTTGGTTGATTGCAACTCCAGGCCGTCCTCTGCCAAATGTGCTGACGATTGTTCAGAAGGTTTTTCATAGGCCATATAGACCGCACGCGCAGCGTGTTGATCCTCAAGTCTTGCTGCCTCCTCATCTTTCTTGTATGCGGCACGTTTCTCGGGTGCCCTATCAGGCTTCGTGATCACAACGCCATCAGGAGTGGAAACAGAACCGCCAGAGGGCGCATCAATGTCAAGATGGCTGAAATTCAAGTCCCCGGACCCCAGCGTATCGATGGCAGATGGTTTCCTTTCCCCGGTTGGCCTCTCATTCTCTTTCGAGCCTTCCGCTGTGTCCGTGGACTGTGATTCGTCAGAGGCTGCGGGTTCAGGTTGGGTCACTGTCCGCGCCTTTGCTTGTGGATTGAGGCTGCTACTCAGAGTCGACGCGGCATTCTGAGCGGCAGAAAAGACGGAGGAGAAGAAGCCAGTTTGCTGGTTGCTGGACGGAGACCTGGAAGGAGCTTTAGGTTCTTCGGCGGTAGGGGTCAAGGCGGATATAGAGTTTGAGAGTTTACTAGGCTTGTGAGACGCAGAGGACGCAGACCGGACACGTCGGTGCGAGATCATGTTTCCAGACGTGCTTACAATGACGCCCGACGGTAGGTCCTTTGACTTGACAGACTCTGGAGACTCTGTCACGTCAGGGGAGGAGAATAATTTAGGGAATTCTGAGCGACTATTAGTCGGAGTGGGCGGGGTCACGGTTGTTTGAGGTGCAGGGTGCGCAGTATGTGGCGGCGTTCTGGGTGGGTTGGGTCCATCAGGAATCCGCAGAGGTTTGTCCTCCTTGACATCCGTCAGAATTAGCGGGGGTACAGAAGGGGGCTCGACTTCCATGGTCTGGCTTCGCTTCGATGAGAGACTGCTTCTTCTGCTCAACAGGCCGGGGCTCTTCGTACTCGCGCCCGAGGTAGAAGATGTTCGTTCGCGATTGGTATCCTTCTTGTTTGAATTGGAGCTAAACGCATTTTTCAGCCGCCTGCCCGGCGAGACGCTGCGCTTCTTACTGCTGCGCTCCTCTGGGATACTCAACATAGGGCCCGATGCGGTCGCAGGTCTGGAGAGTTCTCCTTCCAGGAAAGTCTCCGAGGCAGTTGCACTAGGCCCACTGACGGCGGATTCGACGTCTGCCTGCGTCTCGTCGGTGTCATTCGGGTCCACAGAGGTAGTCTTGATTAATGGGGAGGAGGAAGTGTAGAAGCCGGTATGGGAGTTTCGAGTAGTGAGAGGAGGAGTCCTTGAGATGTAACGGGGGAGTGTCAGTAACTAAAACGCTTCTCCTGTATGGTAGAGGAGCTATGCGTCAACGCTTACCGATCAGGCTCTGAGTCGTCAGTTAGGAGAGTGATGACTTCGCCTGGCGGGCTCAGATTGTCATTCGCCGACGAGGACTCGCCGCGAGACTCGTTTGATCGACTCTTCTGTAGGTCCTGGTCATTCTCTGAGACTAGTGACAGTTCCTCCGTTTGCTTCTGCTCCTTCTCCTTCTTTCGCTTCCGCCGAGCATTCAGTAGCTTGGACAACCCGCTGGAACCTGCCTTTGCGGTTTCGGCTACTTCGCCTGCTTGTGATTTAGGTCTATCAGAACCGGATGAGATTGAAGCGCGCCCATTGCTGCGGCCGGAGCTCCACATGGCGTCTAAGTCGGCGGGAGTGGTCCAGGTTCGATTGGATTTACTGAAACCTTGTGGTTCAGTCTGGGGAACCGGAGGAGGCTCCGGTATAGTGGGTTCCTCCATGAGGAATATAGCGGAGTGCGGAAAAAGGGAAGGTAAGGAGGGGACGGGTCGAGGAGCCGACACAGAATGTGAGTAATGTTTACACCAGTCCAATCAATGGCCTGAAGGAAACCTTTACGCCGGTTCTTGAGTGTGGCAGAATCAAAGTATAGAATCCTTGCCTAAGCGTCCATCAACAACTGGTGGCTGGAATTCAGGCTGTACAATTATAGGGAGGAGGGGGAAGAAACAGCATGGGGGGGAGCGGTTGTGGACGACCGCATTCCCAGCAGCATGGTTTCACAACAAATGGAAAAGAATGTGCTGGTTTTCTACTTTCAAAAAGTCGAGGGATCAGAACTTGTAGATCAAGAGTAGATAAAAATGGAGCAGAATGAACGAAAGTCAGCGAGGGACACGATGGAGAAGAAGCTTGAGGAGGCCACTTGGAAAATGACGACGACCGCCGAGAGGTTCACCTCCGCAGCAGCAAGCGGCCAGCCGTATTTGCATTACCACCTCCCCTATAAGGCCGTGCACACTCAGCATGTAACGGCTGTCATGAAGCGGTATTACAACTTTCGGAAGTCACCCTGGACCCGGCCCACGCTTATTTTTGGATTGGGAGTGGAGTCCGTGGCTTTCTTTACGGTACATATTTTTGGCATCGAGATTCTAGATCAACCATCTAGGGTTGATAAGGGGCAGGAGGACTACTGAACAAGTTACATAGCGAAGGTAGTACTTCCAAATTCCTCCTGTTCCTGAAGGATGTAAGATGAGATTGTCCGGATCAGGACCTATATTGCAAAAGGTAAAGGTAATGTCACGGTTCCATTGATGCCTTAGGCTCATACGGCATTCATTCACTTTTTGGCGGTCTGCGTATGGCGTCACTTCCTCTTATCACGTTATCTCTTCCTGCTCTTCCTGCCATCTCACTGAGCTGCTTTTGACAACTTATACAAGATCATTAGGCACAGTCTGCATCCATGCAGCAGCCATGGAGACTGCGCCGCTCACCTTGGTAAGTGCTGGTCCTCTATGTTCCACCGTATTGCATCCTACTAACCCCACCAAATTAGGCTCATACCCACGCACGCAATGCCGTCCTAGAGACGCGCAAAGCCAACCCCGTGGCAGCGAGTGAGGAACACGACTTGGCTGCTGGCGAATTTGCGACAGCTGCACAAAATAGTTTCGACCGTGAGGTACATTTGCATTGCTGAAATCAACATTCAGTCAAGATCTAACGCGGTGTTCATTATCTGTCTCACAGGCCTTGCGTACTCTCCAACTGCTTGAGCAGCATCATAAGAAGCTCGCTCAAATCCTGCGCTTTCAACATGAGAATCCAGTCAGTACTACGTCCGCTGCCACTGCGCAGACGGGAACTGGAGAATCAGAAACGACCAAGTTCTCCCCGACCTCGCCAGAGCAAGCGCAGCAGCAGCCGCCTAGATTGGTTGGCAACACTCGGTTACCGGCAAGAGAAACCTCCTCCATTGCCAGCAAACTGGCCTCTGCACGAGGAATACCGTCTCAACCCCGTCGTGCCTCTCCCGTTTCCCCCACTGTATCCTCGCAACAGGCGGGGGCGAGGATGACCGAGGGTCCCAGCAAGCTGAAGACCGGAGAGTCAAGACTACGAGGAACGCAAGCCCACAATTTAAGGGACCGTCCGAGCGGCGTCTCTGCATCAAAACAACCCTGGTCCCCGCCAGTCACCAGTCCTACCGAAATCACATCTCAGCAATTCGTCCCGCCGGAAGCGGTCGAACCAGGTCGGCAGAAGAACAAGACCACACCCTCCGAGGAGCCCTTCCAACGCTTCTACTCGACTTTTGAAGGTCTCATCTCTAAGATTTCTGCGCCTCTAGCATTTGCCGGCCTGCCGCTCGGATCAGAGACATCCACACAGTCCGACCAAGCAAGACGCAAATCATCCGCCGACACCAAAGTCGATCGCCATCAAGCAACCTCTGACCGACCCGGCCAGTTCACCGAGCCAGACGTCAGCAAGATCTTCTCCCGCGCCGCCCTCCGCGCGATCCGCGACTCAAACGGCAACGGAGCGGGAAACACCGCAGAATCATTCTACGTCGTGCCTACTACAGGGGGCACAGTGTCATATGCCGGCATCCTCACCCGAGCCGAGAAGGAGGCCCGACGCAACAGTCTTGATGAGGCAGACGATGATTTTGTCGATGCGCGCGAGACTCCCGCATCGCCTGAGCTACGCCAGAGTGTGACGGGCTCACGCGGCCGGGCGAGTCGCGCCGCAGACAAACTCACCAGCCTGCACAACCCCAAAACGATGGAGGAACTGCAGATGGAGAATCAGGCGCTCAAGCATCTGTCCGATACCCTCTCCAAACGGCTGCACATGTGGGAAGTCAACGCGCAGTCATCCTCCATGGCTTTGCAGCAGTCTCTGAAAGCAATGCACCACCACAACGGCCCGTGGCCCGACCATCCTTACGGTGCTCAGAGCTCCTCCGCTGCTGTGTCCCCCTCCGCTGCGATGGATTCGGACCAGCGTATCAAGGAACTGGAAGACCGCATGCGCCGCAATGAAAAGGAGCTGGAGCGCGTCCGCCGTGAGAACGAGAAACTACGGGACGTCTTGGGCCGCTACCGAGAAAGATGGGAGAAACTGAAGGAAGGAGCGAAGACTAGACGGGCAGAGGGTAGGGCTGCTGCGGGTTCTTCTACAGCGGATACAGTCAAGAGTAGTGACAAGCCCGGAACTACTCCCAATCCGGATCCCAAAACCCACGAGCAGGCTGAGAGTGCCAAGTCAAAGTCGGATGGCGACACGGAGAATGAAAGTACGGGGCCAGAGGCGAAAGGGGATACCTCTGATAGCTAGCTGGCGGGTGGCCACACCATGTCGGTTGGGTTGTGCTAGACATAGTCACTGTAGGCGACATCCTCCCCAGATTCTTCAAAATGTGTTACAGTCCAAGCCTCATTCATTGTCACAAGATGGGAAAGTATCAGTAACGACAAATTGTCATGTTAACGTATTTCTATACCGAGGCACAACTCCATGGATAAGGCCATGGATACTACAACATATCAGGCATAAGCACAATCTACCAAATGCCAGTGTCACACCTGTGGACATGTTGGCAAATAATTCTTAAATAAACTATATACACCAGCCTTGCACAAACCTGGGGACCCCAACAAAAAGCTTCAACAGGATCTACTCTACTGCACGTAAAAGGTAGCATTGCCCCTAATATCCGCGGAGCTGCTTCCCACCAACGCAGTGAACGCCCCGGGCTCCACGACATACTTCATCGCCGAATTCCACAGCCCCAGATCCTGCACCTTGATCTGGATCTTAACAGTCTTGGTCTTCTTCGCGGGGATGACCACCTTCTCGAACCCCTTGAGCTGGCGATTCGGCACAACCACCGACGCAATCTCATCCTGGATGTACACCTGCACGACCTCCGTCCCATCCATGCTCTTGTGGGTATTTGTCACGTCAACGCTGACGGTGACGGTATCCGAGGCAGTGACGTTCGCCTTGTCGACGGTGACAGGCCCATACTGGAATGTGGAGTAGCTCTTGCCGTAGCCGAAGGGATACCAGGGGAGGGGGCTGCCGAAAACATACTGGTGGCCGAAGTCGAGGGTGCCGTCTGGCAGCTCGTAGCCGGAGTCGCCGATGGAGCGGGCGGAGTTGAGGTAGTCGTAGTAGATGGGGAGGTCGCCGACGTAGGAGGGGAAGCTGACGGAGAGCTTGCCGGAGGGGTTGTAGTCGCCGAAGAGGACGTCGGCGAGGGCGTTGCCGCCTTCCTCGGAGGGGTAGAACTGCTGGACCAGCGCGGCGGTCGAGTTGGAGAGCCAGGTCTCGGTCACGGGCTTGCCGCTGCTGAGGACGACGATGGTGGGGACGCCGGTGTCGACGATGGCCTTGATGAGGGGGGCTTGGGCGCCGACGAGGGAGAGGTCGTTTACGTCGACGTGTTCGCCGGTTCTGCGGAGGGTTTTAGTACGACCTGCTGAATATCCGGTTGAACTCCGCGGAAAGGGTGACTCACGTTGCGTTGAGCCCTTGCCACAGCTCCATCTGGTCTCTCGACCAGGTGCCAACGACGACAATGGCCACGTCGGATTTCTTAGCTGCCTCGACGGCCTCGGCGAAGCCCGACTGGTCGTTGCTCCAGCGCTCGCATCCCTTAGCGTAGTGGACGTTTGCCTTCTTACCAACTGCGGCCTTGATGCCGTCCAGGGGCGTGACACCCCGGTACTGGCTCTTGTAGACCACGTAATCTCCGTACTAATCATTATGAGCAACGTTATTCATGTCATGAGCTTTGCAGAGGCACTTACATTCATGAATCCATGGGCCATGGGTCCAATAACGGCAATGTCACCCTTCTTCTTCAGAGGGAGCGTGTTGTTGTGGTTTTCCAGCAAAACAATGGACTCCTTGTCCAACTGTCTAGCGAGCTTGACGGCTTCCTTGCTGTGGATGAGCTTGTTCCATTGAGACTTGGGAGCGGCGGGATAAGGGTTTTCAAAGAGGCCCATCTCGAACTTCACCCTCAGCAATCTGGAGACGGCGGTGTCGACAGTCTTGATATCAAGCTTGCCGGCCTTGACCAGTTCAGGGATCTTCTGGAAGTTGCTTTATATACGTCAGCAAGGAACAATCAGACCCCAGGCAAAAACTTACAAAGAACCACCGCCCATCTCGACGTCGTTACCGGCGGGAAGAACCTGGAGAGTGACGGCATCCATGTCAATAGGATTGCTCCTGCAGAGCTTGAATGCCGAGCACAATCTATCTGTGCCGCCGGCATCACTCATGACAAAGTAATCGTAGCCCCATTCGCCTCTCAGGATCTCGGTCAGAGTATGGTAGTCTGAAACAGCAGGGACGCCGTCATATCTAAGCAAAAGTTGTCAGCAGCGTCTTAGGGTCACTGTCAAGACACACTTACGAGTGATAGGCACTCATGATACTCCATGCGCCAGCGTCAATGATCGCTCGCTTGAACGACGGGAACCAACTTTCTAGGTCAGTGTTTCATTCTAGTCCTGATGCCCGGCCACTTACGTTGTGCGCAGGTATCTCTCGCCTCCTTGAACAGGAGCAGTGTTGATACCCTGTTCAGGCTGGCTGAATCCTATGAAATGCTTGACCATCGAGGAGACGTTGAGGCTCTGGAGACCCTTGACGTAGCTATAACCCATCTCTCCCGAAAGGTATGGATCTTCGCCGAATGTTTCTTCAACCTAGGAGCAGGTATGTTAGTTCCCTGTATGACAGACGATCGATCGCATGGCCTACCCGACCAAACCGCAGCTCGCGAGCCAGGTCCACGACAGGAGCAAAGAGCTGTGTGACACCAAGTGTGCGAGCTTCCTGGGCCACGTATTTGGCCATCTCTTGGACTAGCTATAATTCTCTGTCAGACGTATGTCTCCGGCAACAATATGCAGAATACGTACCTCTCTGTTGAAGGAGCAGCCATACGCAATAGGCGAATTGAAGATTGTCGCGTTGCCAATCAAGAAACCATGAATACCTATAGCAGCCATCAGCATTTGACAAGAGTGGACACCATAATCAGCCATACCCTCTGTCTGGACAAGTGCCGGAATCCCAAGCGTCGTGTTCTGCATGAGATAATCTTGGGCTCTCTTGACATTGGTAGCAATCCAATCCCAAGAAACGGGATAGCCAACTGGAAAAGATTGTCAACGCTATCATTCGCTTGAAGTCAGGATCCGGTTTGTCTACCATAGAACGATCCCGCTTTCATCTTCATATTCTCGACGAGACCGGTGTAGTTGAATGCTCCACTGGTAGAATTCATCCAATTGGTAATATCACCTACAACCAATGCAATTAGCTCTGTCAATGAACGGGATCATGGAAAACCAAAGGGAGCACAGTATCAACGAACCCTGCATCAGTTGTGCCATCTTATCCTCGATCGTCATCCTGCCCAGAAGATCGCTCACTCGGTCTTCCACAGGCGCATTGGCATCTTTGTACAGCGGCGTCGAAGCAGCCTGTCCTGTAGACAAAGCCGAGACAAGCTGCAAGAGCAGCAAGCTCTTGGAGAGAAAAGTTCCAACCATCCTGGTGCGAAGATGGATAGATTCAAACCGTCAGTTTAGAAACTATAATGGCGAGTTCTCTCCTCAGCGAGCCATGCAGGGGACAGAGACACAGCCAGAAAAAGAAAAAGACAATTGATCCACGAGGGAGGTACGCCGATTTATCTATTTACCACGCTGCTGCAATCTGCGCTCTGCAGTCTCCGCAGTGCACGCCATTGTCCAGTAATTACTCTCGTGTCTCGGCATGTGGCTAGGCCATGCTCGGAAAGGAAAAAAGGTGAAAATAAGAGACCATCATAATAAATTGCCTTCAATGCAGCCATCGTAATCTAATAGACCGAGAGAATTGTTTGACGGAAAAGAGGCAAGCGTCCGAGCTATCGTGCTTTAGGTTGGAGGTTAGGTCCAGTGCGGAGATGAGTCCGGCTCAAAAAGAACTTTAGGGCCTTAGGGGAGATGAGAAAGTCATATACTGGCGAATGAATACATCAGAGTGGTACCGTGCAAAGATCCACACTCCATGAAATTGGCTTGGAGCCCTCAACAGCAATGCCAACCGCAAATGCTAAGGAACTGGGGATGGAGTTGAGCCGGTATCCCCGGAATTGCAGTGATGACAAGATGCGGAGAAGCATTCGCACGGCTAAATTCAAGGGAAAGTTTAGCAGGATGAATGCCTAGTGGCTGAACTTAGTTGTGCTTTTAGCAGGATTCGATCAAAGCGAGTGACGAGAGTCGAGAGGAATAAATGATCCATGCTGGGATCTAATGGAATTAGGGTGCTGCAAGATGAGTATTTTCCACCTATGGAATCATTGGATGCAAAGTCAATGCAGAAACCACAAGAGAAATCCTGCACCCGTTAGCTGATCATTTCCCGCAATTGTCATGGTAGTGGGCCAAGGTCAAGGATTGCTCTACCTCGTATAAAGGATTTGGGAACCTGGAAGCATGGGAGCCAGGGAGAGGAGAATGGAAGCGTCACAGCTCTGGCTGGGAAAGATCCCCCTGGATTGTTGAAAGACATCCATTGGACGTTAATTATTACCAGGACTCGCATTGCAATGGCTGAATGATTATGTATATAATGGAGCCCACCCCGGCAATGCCATGTCCAAGTATAAAACTACTATTAGAAGATAGGAACCGTATATCTAATGAATATATGGACTCAAAATCAAACCGGCCAGCCACCCATTATTACAACAATAACAACAAATATGTACCGACGACTGGAAATGAGCCCGCCGCCGCAGAGAAGAAAGTGCTCCGTTCAGGCCTATGCCTGCGTATCTGCGCCACTTTGGCGACCGCCTTCTCCATCATGAGTCTCGGTGCTACCGTCATTCTCGTTTGCTTCGACTGTTGTCGTATTGTCCAACGCCTTGTTGCTGCTGTTAGGCTTTCGTAGAGCGCCACCAAGCCATGCTAAACTTCCACTCCATGAATCACTAAGGCTGCGAAGTCGGGTGAGCGTGGTGATACCGTTTCCACTTTGACTGATGGACTGATCTTCTGAGTCTACAACCGGGATAGCGTTACCAACGGTCTCAGGAGCCGTCGGGAGATCCCCAGTAGAATGGAGTCGAGCAGTCGCAAGTCGGAATGGAAGATGCTGGTCCGCACCCGCATCCACCTCATCTGAAGGGTCTCTCAAGTCACTGTTCCTGTTGGGCATGTAGCCGTCAAAGGCTGTTGTACTTAGGTGTTTTCTTCGAGCGGATCGCTTATGCGTCTTTCGGTCTTTCAGGGGACTCGTTTCGCCGCGGCGAAGTGATTCGGCAACGACCGCACTGAAACCTGCTGAAAGGGTAGGGAGAAGTGGGCCTGGAGAGAAATGCTTAGATATAGAATTGCGTAAGTTCCTTGGGGGAGGAGTCTGAGGGACGGTATTTCCTCGGTCAGCCGGTTCAACGTGGTCGGGCTTGGACGGAGACGAGAGTCGGTAACCGTGATCTTCAATGCCAGGGGCAGGGGGAAACTGCAAGAGGACCGCTGAATCAGTGTTGGCAGTGTCGGACTGTTTCGGAGTGGCTGGTCGGTGAAGCTGAGGTTCGGATTTGGAAGCCTGAACGTGTTGGTCCAAGTGGTCCGCCCATGGGTTCGTTAACAGGGAGTGCGAGTGCGAGTGTAAGGAAGATGGATGCCCGGGAGATGGCTGTGTAAGAGATTCCGCGGTCAGGGAGCCGACGGGAGATGAAGGAGCAGCAGACAGAGCACCCTTGGGGGTGGGTTGGTCCTCATCAACGCCCTCAATTCCATTGCTCAGTAAAGATCCCGACGGGGACTGTAGATCGTTTTCATCAGGTATTGATTGCCTCTGCCCGGGTTTGCGTGTCCTAGCTTGATGCGCAGGAGGGGCAATGCCAACACTGTCCTGATACCGCTCTCCTCCTAGAAGCCCAATCGCTTCTTCCTCGTCATCAATGGAGAAAGAAGACTCGTCATCTGCACGGACCCTGCCGCTCGTGATAAAGTACACGCCTAGGAATGTCATAAGGCAGCCAGAGACAAACTTTGAGGCGCGCTCAGCGGTGTAGTTCTCAAAGTCGCGGTATAAAACGGCACTTCCAACGATAACCGACAATGTGAAGAGTACGAATTGCGTTGGGATGACTTGGGTGGAATCAAAACGTTGCAAAGCCCGGTTGATGTACCGAATCTGCATCAGAGCGCTGAAAACAAGGACAAACACCAGTAGGTAGGTGATCGGAAAAGTAATAACATGCCAAAGCGTAAATGACAGCAGCGATGAGACGCCTTTTGTCGACAAAGCGGTATATCCACCTTGATGTCTGAATGAGTACTTGGTTCACACGATCAAATAACGCATCAATAACGACAGAGACTTACCAAACAGCGCGACTAGCCCGACATCTATAAGGATAGTTCGAGAGCCATACATGTGGCTCACCCACATGAGAGCGATTATCAAGCAGGCTGTCAGACCCAAGTACAGCTCGAATTCCCAGCGCGTGATCATGACCCATATATCATGTGGACCGATTTTCTCTTCCGACGAACTGGCACTGAGCACGACCACAACAGCGCCAGCGATTGCAATGAGCACCCCCCAGGCATCGCGTTGCCGAAACTTCTCCTTGAGCATTATTGGGGCAATAACGCAGTTTGAGATCAACGCGACGACGCCTAGCGGGGACACAATCGATGCAGGAGCAAACCCGTATGCCATGAAGTTACCGATCTCGCCGAGACACATGAGCACGATGCCCGCCCACCAGTACGGCGAGCGGAGGTATGATTTGCGCCGGCCATGGCGCGAATCCTTATCCCCAGCACGTATAGTTTGGTCCGATAGAAAGGACTCGCGTAGGCGACCGCGAGAGCCTGATTCTCCATCCGAGAACTCGTCGCTCCGTCTTGAAAAGTCCTCGGGTAATTCTGGCCCGGAATCCGGAGACTCGTCTCGATAACGAGGAAACGGGCCTCCCTCTCGTCTAGGTTCTCTGTCATCCTCCTCATCTACGGTAGCTCCGTAGACACCTGCTGCATTCCGGCCCGAGTTGGCCCGTTTCCACTGTATCTCCCTTTGAAGTTTGCTCTGCTCCCACTCCCTCTCGATCCGGATGTGAGCGTAACGTTGAATATTGAGCGCCAGAGATATCAGCACATTTCCCACCAATGCAGTCACAATACCAATCAGAGACGACCATTCATGTATATGCCCTCCATTGTGGCCGCCAGTATTCGAATCAGAGCCCGACGTCGACGAAGGTAAATGTCGAAACGATGAAGAAGCGGATGCGGCGGCGGTCGGAGTAGGGGCGAAAGAAGTGACAAGAACCGTAAGCAGGCCTGCTGCTAAGGGCTCCTCTTTAAAGGAAGCCATTCAAATGTAAAAGAAGAAATGACCGAACAGGGGGAGAGACGGGTTGAGGAGCTTCCAGAGCTCCGCTGACGGAAGTTGAGACGAATCGATCGTTATCAGCCGGGTTAAAATGCTCAGTATGATGCAGGTCACGGAGGCTTGAAGACCGAGGATGGACTCGATGGGTGTACTCAAGACACTGAAAGAAACCGATCTGATGAAATAATGCTCGAGTTCAACCGAAAACAATCGCTCATGCTGGTAAAAAATGGCGCATTCTGTTCCGTGACTTTACTAAGCTCCAAAGCTTTATATCTGCACTTCCCAAGACAAAACAATACCACTGGCAGCAATAAAAGAGGAACGATGTCGGCCAGCAACGGACAGAAAGGGGTGGTCTTGCTGTCGTTCAAGAGCAACCGTAGAACGACCGGGATGGTCGGAGGATTGACCGGGCGCGGATTTAGAATTGCGAGAATACGAACGATCGCTCGGACGATCTAATCAAGAAGGCAGCGGATGAGAACAGACTCAAGCGCAGCATCGTGAGTAGTGACAAGGCTTAGGCAGACAGGTCGGTGCGAGCTCATAGCCTTTTTGAGTAAGGTAGAAGAGAGAAAGCGACTATCGAAGTGCCATTTTCCGCCTGGAGGATCATCATTGGTCTGACCTCCACAACAGCCTGGAAAGCCCATCGGTGGACACCCCTCCTGTCCAACGTCATCGAGCATCAAATTTCCCACCGGCTGACAACTCTCTCTGCTGCTACTTCGAGTCTAATATGCATAAAAATCCTGATGGATGCATACGGATGAGGGTATCTCTGATTATTGATGCTAGATGATCGATGGTAGTTTTGGATCTGATTACATGTTCCCCCCACAACGCCGTCCATCTTGCATATATATACATTAGCGTTCGAAGAAACACCTATCCAAGCCGCAGGAGAGCGGAAAATGCCAGGAAATCAGGAACGTGAAAAGGTTTTTTTTGGGCGATCTTTTCACCGCTTGGCCTTCTTCTTATCGGGTTCTTGCTCTTCCTCGTCATCGCTGAGCTCTCTAAATATCGGTACTGGCTGTGTTTCTTTCCATGCCTTGGTGAAAATCGGGTCCTTCTCGGCTTTCTCGGCGTACTTCAGCAGCGCCTCGCGAGGATCTTCGTCTCGCATGGAACTAAGAGGAATATTTTCGCGAATATGCCGTTCATCCGGCTGCGATTTTCCAAAGGGAGTAGTTGCCGGCAGGTGTGGTCGTCTCGGGTCCCTGGAACGACCCGACGCCGTGAGGCCGATGGTTGGATGGCGGGCAGACCAGGTAGCCGAGCTGTAGTGAGGGACTCCGTTCGATCCGACCACAACGGAGTCGCCCGAGATACCAGCAGACAGGTCCATGGTAAGCGACGGGTCATCGTCGATATGGCGACGTTTGGGCGCCCTGGACATGACTAAGGCAGCTCCCTTGGTCGACATAGTGGGATTGTAGAGAACATGCGTCTCGGCGTTGGCGGAACCAGTGATGATCTGATTGAGCTTTTCATGCCAGAGAACAGTGATGAGGGGTGACCCAGGTGTGACTGGCGTAACAAGCTCAGGTTTCAGGGTAGCTGGGTTCAAGATGTGTAGATGACCAGTCTCGGAGCCTGTAATGACGTTGGCCGACGTAGGTGAGAAGACAATGTTGGAAGACGGATAACGACTTGAAATCGATGGATGCGACACGGTGGTGATCGGCTGTTTGAATTTCCGAGTGTCCCAGAGCTTGATGGTATCGTCCCCTCCTTTGCTGATGACTAGTCTTCCATCGGAGCTGATGTCCAGTCCACTCGTCCATGTATCACGAGTATGCGCATCTCTGATCTCCCCACTAGGCCGAGTAAACGGGCCATTCCCTCCCCACATCAGCAAGCTTCCATCGAGGGCAGCAGCGACGAGAATACTAGGACCGCCCTGTTTTGGGGAGCCCCATGCGACCGCAGTCATCTTGCTCCGACCAGCGGATCCAGCCACCCTAGACTTGTGTACAATGACCTCCTTTTGCGATCGCCCGACGTTTGCGTCCCAGATGCGCACTGTGCTGTCCGTTCCGGCGGTGACACACAAGTTGTAATCCGTCGGAGACCAAGCGCCATTAGTCACTTCCGCTACATGGCCTTTGGTATGATGAAGATCTCTCAGGTACATGTCCCCCTTCACGAACTCGGTTAGGGTATCCCCGTCGCGGTCCAGAATCCGAGGTTGCGGCGTTGCCGAAACAACCATGACATGACTTGGGGAGAGAGGATTGAATGCGACATAGTGCACCGGGTGTGTTTCTTGGGCGGCGGATTGCTTCTTAGCAGACGGATCGACGGATTTGAATGCGCGTACGGTGGACGGTGTCATAGAGGCAAAGTCATGGAGCTTAAGAGTGCAGTCAGTCGAGCCGGTGATCAATCGCGCTCCTGCCGGATCCACCGTCATGGTCGTCACTGCGCGCTCATGCGTCTTGATAAGAAGCTCGTGAGAAACGGGGAATTCGTCCTCCTCGTCGTCATCGTCAGAGTCATCATCGTCGTCGGAATCATCTTCTAAATCGGCTTTTCGATCGTGTCCTTTTGTCTCATCTTCGGCTTCGGCGTCTTCGACTGCCAGTTTGGTGTCAGGATCTTCCTTTTTATCGCTATCTGGTTCGGCTGAAAGTTTCGACCGCTTGGTGCGGTCGATCTGGGCATTCACATCAAGCTGCTTTTCTTGCTTGCCGAAGCTACTCGGGAAAAATTTCTTGAATGCTTCTTCATCGAACCCGTCCATTGTGATCGAGAAATCTTGCAAAGTCCTTGTTCGAAGCTAATCGGAAAATGACTTGATGATGCCAATAATGTTGCGACTGCTTCCGTTTGCCACTTTTGCAATGTTTGCGGCGTTTGCATCTAAGCGTATACTAAGATATGGCGCTTATCGGTCTCCACAACTACGAAAGGGTACAAGTAAACATCACCATAGAGATTGGTAGCTCGGTTCACTAGTAGAATACATCATTGAAAGGCTCTTAAAGAAGCCATCTTTCTCAACCTACGTAGCCATAAGGCACCTATTGACCATATTCCCACCTTACAAGTACAAGCCCTCCACAGGACCGCCATCCTGCTTAGTCTTCATGATCCGTTCCCTAGCGGCACGGAAATCATCCATTTGCACCCTCATACGGCGCTCTCTCAGCGCCATCAGACCGGCCTCTGTGCAAATAGCTCGGATATCAGCACCAGAGAGATCGTCTTTCTGGTTGATGAATTCGTCGAGGTCAACGTCATCTCCGAGGGACATCTTGGACGTGTGCAGGGTAAAGATCTTCTTCTTGGTATTTTCTGTGGATTGTTAGTCAGTGAACCACAGCAAGCTCCTTAGCAGGGTACTCACGATCTGGGTTTTCGAAGAGAATCTTTCGGTCAATACGACCAGGACGAATCAAGGCAGGATCCAGAGTCTCAATCTTGTTTGTTGCCATAATAACCTTTACATCACCACGGTCGTCGAAACCATCCAGTTGGTTAAGAAGCTCCAACATAGTACGCTGGATTTCTCGTTCACCGCCAGATGTAGAGTCGTAGCGCTTGGTACCGATGGCATCAATTTCATCGATGAAGACAATCGAGGGCGCATGCTCGGCAGCAACCTGGAAAATCTGTCGCACCAACCGAGGACCATCTCCCAGGTACTTCTGGATCAGCTCACTTCCGACAATTCGAAGGAAAGTGGCGCTGGTCTGGTTTGCAACAGCCTTGGCAAGCAAGGTCTTACCGGTACCAGGAGCACCGTAGAGAATGACACCCTTTGGCGGCTTGATACCCATCTCCTCATACAGTTCCGGGTGGAGCAAGGGCAACTCGACAGACTCTCGGACTTCTTGAATCTGCGACTCGAGACCACCAATATCTGCATACGACTCGGTTGGTGCCTTGTCGAGTTTCATGACTGAGACCAGAGGATCCGACTCTTCCGTCAGCACACCGACGACCGATACAGACTTGTGATGCAGAAGGATGCTGGCACCGGGCTCCAGCAGATCCTTGTCGACAAAGGACATGATAGAAACGTAGTACTCGGGACCGGTAGCACTCGAGACAATCGCATGGTCATCGTCGATCAGCTCCTCCAGGTTGCCGACTCCCATGGGGCTGCCTCTCATGTCATCCACGCGGCTCCTTTCGTCCGCATTCCTGTCCATGATATCAAGGTCACCTCGGCTCACAGAGTCCAGCGTAGCCTGAGCTTTGGCCTTGCGCAGACGCTCCATATTCTCCACATATTCCTCTTCGAGCAACAGGTGGTCATGGACTCGTTGCATTCGAAGGTATCGTAATTTACATCGCGACGTTGGAAAAATGTCGGGAAGTTTTGAGGCAGTGCTAGGGCCCGCAGCCTTGCGCTTCTTCCGCCCGATCCTGGTGGTAGGTGGTGGTGGAGGTTCGTACTTGGGCTTCTCCTTCTGCAGACGTAGGCTTTGTCAGCTACCGAGCTTGCGGCATCAGAAAACGTGTCGAAGACGTCGACTCACCTTCTTATCCTTGTCATCTCTCCCATCCCCACCAGGGCCACCACCGATGTTTGACTGCTGGTTACCCTGTTTTCAAGGCGCGTTAGCCTGGCTGGAACGGGACAGGGCAACCAAGGCACTAATGACGAAACCGCTCTCATATACATACCATGTTCCCAGAGTCTGTGCAGATAAGAGTTAAAAAGCGGTACCAGAATTAGTTCCTGATGACAACAATCTTGATACCAGCAGGAGTCGTTGAAAGGGGTGGTTGATGTTAGAGGGCGGATGAAGGCGTGAACGTAGTGAGTGAGTGAAGCTTCCGCTAGAGAGACGGACGGAGAGCTCTCAGGTAAGCTGTTGTCGCCATCTGATCTGGTCTTGGCGGCCAGCATTTACAGCACGTGACATGCCGCCTTATTTTTTGCCTGAGGCATCTCCGTTACGTAGAGTACTGCTACCTTACCAATCCGGGTAAGAAGATCCACGGGTTGACAGCCTTGCGGCCTGATGCTTTTTACTGGCGAATGATAGTGGAATTCAAGCGTCACCAGGGCGGCTGCGGGCAAGTAAATATAGCCTCTAAGGTAGACTGCCTGGTATCTAGAACACTCTGTAGTCAGGTAGCTTAAGGTAGGTAGCTTTCTGCCTTACACACAGCACAATATAGTCTAAGCCCTTTTGCATTTTCGAATCTTCTGCTTTAGAGCTTCAGCTTTAAATTGTCCTGCTGCAAAACAGCGTTCATATATCTGCTCTGTTGAGCTATCCTGTGAGTATCCAAACTACTCCTCTTCTGCCTCGTCGGCCCCTCATCCATCTCTCCTCGGGCTCCAGTCCTCGATAGATAGCGAGGCTCAATATGCCTTCTCCTACTAATACCAACAAGCATGTTTACTTTTGTTTCTGGCTGGTCCCGTCCCACCTTCTCCCCGCTCGCCATCACGCTTCGGGTTGATAAAAATAATAACTGATCGCTCTTGCTGATAAGGACCCAGCTGTTCCATAGTTAGCGACTCCGGACACTATCCTTCGGATCAAATTCGATTCACTTAACCACATCATCTACTCCTAAGCGTGGTTCATCGCTTACGTGTCTGTGACTCGGTCGATCATTCCACTTATGGCTTCTAATCGAACGCGGCGAATCGCAAAGGAGATTGCGGATATTCGGGCAGATACTCATTCCCAAATTACTGCCGAACCGGTGGAAGATGACGATGTAACACATTTGCGTGGCACGTTTCCGGGGCCCCCGGGTACACCGTATGAAGGTGGTACTTACGAAGTTGATATCAAGATACCCAACGACTATCCATTTCGGCCGCCTGTCATGAAGTTTGTGACCAAGGTCTGGCATCCCAATATCAGCAGCCAAACGGTGAGTATCGTCAGCGTCTCGAGCCCTCTGTCTGGTCCGGAGACGATTTCTAATGTTCCCTTAGGGCGCGATCTGCCTCGATACGCTGTCATCGGCATGGTCGCCGGTGCTGACCATCAAATCCGCGCTTTTATCTCTGCAATCCTTACTCAGCACTCCTGAGCCCAAAGATCCGCAGGATGCAGAGGTAGCCACCATGCTACTGCGTAGACCGAAAGAGTTCGAGCGTGTCGCCCGGGAATGGGCCGTCATCCACGCTGGGGCTCCCCGAAAACACGCTGGGGAGGGTAGTGGAGGAGCTACAGACGAAACTCTTCGCCAGGAGGAACTTAAGTCTAAGGCGGAGCAAGAAAGGGAAGATCTTTCCAAGTACGCAACCACGCAGGTGCCACGTTTCATTACCTCTAGGGAATCGCATCTCATACATGTCAATAGGTACGACGGATATAACAAAGACTTGATCGATCGATTCTGCAGCATGGGCTTCGATGTTGATCGAGTGGTCGCGGCGTTCAAATTTTACGGCATTGATCGAATGAATGGCGAGGATTATGAATTGGATGAAGCTTATATGGGTGATATTACTGCACGGCTCCTGGGTGAGCCGTAAGTGACGGTGTGATGACTCTTTGGGCTATTTTTGAGCAAAAATAGCAAATGATACTAATCGAATGCATGGTGCCTGGCGAATGCTCTGTTTTCAAGAGATTCTACGCTATTTCTATGGACATTGTGTATGGTTGGGAGCAACAACTGCCTTATGTCTTCATGAACTATTCTTTGCTTGTTTCCGGCTCTTATGGCTGTCTACTTTATGCTTCCTTTCCATCTCCTGTCTCTTACTATAAAGTTGATATTGAGCTTCTGAGATACAGTTCATCGTTGTGGAATGTCGTCGTAAACTTATTTTTAGCTGGAATTGGCCGGCAACAAGATGATAACGATAAGCGGGGTGGGTCTCCATTCTTTCTTGAACTCCGCCAAGCTTGATCGTCGCCGACTCTTCCTCTTTAACACAGCTTGCTCTCTTGTTGATGCACTGATGGAAATCTATTAACCTTGGTATAAAGAAAACATACCCCCTTATTATCGCAGCTATCTCGTTCTTTCTTCTTCTTGCTTCTCCAATCGCCCACATCCGCGGGGGCCTGACGATCGAGCTCCATCAAAAGCAGGATGTTCGAGGACGATATCTATCGGACCTCATCACAGTATAAATTTTGGTCTTTCACAGAGGCCTCCTTACGGTCCTTAAGGGAGAACACAAATGCCGTCGCTAGCCAACGAGTCCGAGCGGCACTGCGGAGAGCACGGGAGGCGCGACAGTCAGCCAGCTCGTCGGCTGCGGGGACTCCTATAGCAGGGACTACTGCAGATGGCAAGGGAGCGGACGAGAAGGACATTGACTGTCTGACACCAGAAGAAGAGAAGGAGTTAGTGAGGTTCTATTGCGAGAAGGCCGTGGAGCTGGCGGACACATATAAGCCAGCCTTGCCGACGACAGTGCGGGTGTGTATCTCGTCTAATGTTGAAGCGCATAACCGCGAATGAACAGATAACTAACGTCGCACGTCTCTCTAACAGGCTACTGCGATTCAATACATCCGGCGATTCTACCTCAGCAACTCGCCAATGACCTACTCTCCCAAGACAATCATGCCCTGCGCGCTCTTCCTTGCTACCAAGACGGACAATTTCTACATGTCCCTGCGCCAGTTCGCCGAAAAGGTTCCAGGCGACTCAACGGCAGAAGACATCATCGCCCCCGAATTCCTCATAATGCAAAGCCTCCGCTTCACCTTCGACGTCCGACATCCCTTCCGCGGCCTCGAAGGCGGCGTCATGGAACTCCAAGCCATGGCCGAAGGCCAGGGCCAGCCCGCACCTCACCTCCCTCACCAGACATCAGAAGACCTACGCCGCGGACTCCTCGCCGTCCCCGCAGCACCAAACGCTCCCCAATCCTCCTCAATTACAGACCGAATCGCCCGCGCACACACGACAACCCGCGAACTCCTCAAAACCGCCGCCCAAATGACCGACGCCTACTTCCTCTACACACCCTCGCAAATCTGGCTGGCGGCCTTCATGCTCGCCGATCGCCCCCTGGCCGAATACTACCTCGACACAAAACTCGGCGGGCCAGCCGCTGAGAGCGCCAACGCACAAGCGGGGAACCCGCTCTACGAGCTGCGCGTGAAACTCCTCCGCACACTCAACCAGTGCGCTGCCCTCCTGCAATCGTATAAGCCCCTCAACTCCGATCCCGAGCAAATGAAGAACCTCAAACGCATCGGGAAGAAGTTCTACTACTGTCAGAATCCGGAGAAGATTTCCCTAGCCGGACAGAAGCGGATCCCTGCTGCGGCTGCTGCCGCCGCTTCGGCGGCCGAAGGCGCCGCCTCGGAAAGTGAAGTCGAGCGGCAGGCGAAGAAGCGGAAGCTGGAGCGGGAGCAGAGAGATCGAGAGGCGAGGGATATCTTTGGTGGGGAGCTGGTGGCGCAACGGGTCAAGGAGGGGCAGGTTGGCGAGCAGCAGCATCCGTCGTAGAGTGAATGTGGTCAGAAAAGCGATATATACGTCGTCTCTTCGAATAGATTTCGGTAGTGGCACAACCGCAACTTGACCAATGTACTTTATTGCCAAGGATCTACTCTACCAGAGAAGATGAATCGTGTTCAGTACACAGTACTCTGTACACTACATCAGGACCGATATAGAATCAAGACTATCAGGCGCTCATGTGCAATGGATAGATATTATAGTCATCATCGGCCAGAGTTACAAGAATGACCGACTGGATTGAACAAGACTATATGAAGTTGTCTATAACAGGTATCATGGGGATGCTCATGAAAGAGTAAAGGGACATGGAATTCAGCCATCACGCTCGGCTTGGCTCGACTCAGCTCTAGTAGGAGGATGAGAGGTATGAAAACGGAACCGTCTAAAAGGCGCACCCAAACATGGAGAGGGAAAAAGAAACAGCAGAAAATATCTCCAACAAAAAAATATGTAAAGAAAAACCCCAAGTCAGCCACTATATCACTGGCTCCAGGATCCATCATCACTCCTGGAAGAAAAAACTTTTTTTTCTCTTCCCTGCCGCACTTTTTATGGTCATCTCTAAACGTCAACGTTCCAATTCGTAACAAAAAATGCAGAAACGCGGGAAATGAGCTTTAGACAGCACCCTCGGAGACCATCTTCCTGCGCAGGTGGTCCTTGTACTCGCCAATAGTGCCGTCCCAGCGGCGGATGGTCTTGTTCTCGCACACCATGATGTCCTTGGCGATCTTGTCGAGGAGACGGAAGTCGTGAGACACGACGACGACACCACCGCTGAAGGCGTTGATGGCATCTGCCAAACTGTCGATAGTGGGGATATCGAGACCGTTGGTAGGCTCGTCGAGCAGAATCATGTTCGGGCTCTCGATGGCCAGCAGAGCGAAGACGATACGACTCTTCTGACCTTCGGACAGAGTACCCATGAGGGCAGTCTGGGATTCACCGCTCAGACCATAGCGGCCAAGCTGCTGACGCCAGTACTGGTAATCCTGACTCTTCTCGGGGAACTTGTCGCGAACGAAGTCCAGTGCGGACTTGGTCAAGTCCAGCTGTTCAGCAGAGTGCTGACTGTACATGCCGAGCTTCAAGTGAGTGTGACGGCTGACACGACCGGCAATGGGCTGAAGCTTTCCGGTCATGAGACGGAGGAGGGTAGACTTGCCGACACCGTTAGGTCCGACCAGCGCAGTTCGTGAGTCCATGTCAACACCAAGATCAAGGTGCTCGTACAGAGTGTCCTCCCAGTTGCCAGAGTAAGAGAACGAAACATCATCAAAGGACAGAACGGGAGGAGGAAGCTTCTCGACATCAGCGAAACGGAAGGAGAAGACTCTGTCGGGGATAACGGGTTGAATGAAGCCTTCAGCCTCCATCTTGTCGAGAATCTTCTGGCGAGACTTGGCCTGTCTGACCAAGTTGGCGTAGGTACCGGCGGAAGCAATGAACTTCTTGATGTGGGCGATTTCCTCCTGCTGCTTGTTGTAGGCCTTCATCTGGTTGGTCTCCTGTTCGCTGCGAGTCTTGTGGTACGAATCGTAGTTACCACCGTAGTAGAGGAGCTGCTTCATGCGCATGTCGATCATGTTAGTGCAGACACCGTTCAAGAAATCCTGGGAGTGAGAAACAAGCACCAGAGTGCGCTCCCACTTCTTCAGGTACTCTTCCAGCCACACACAGGCCTCGAGATCCAAGTGAGCGGTGGGGTCGTCCAGCAACAGAAGAGAAGGCTTGACGAACAGGGCCTTGGCAAGGGCCACACGCATACGCCAACCACCGGACATGTCCTTGGTCTTCTTGTGGATGGTCTGCTTGTTGAAACCGAGACCGGTCAAAATCAGGGAGGCACGAGTGTGGAAGGTGGAAGGATCCATTTTATCCATGCGCTGGTTCATGTTAGTACACGGTATTTTTTATGTAGGTGGAAAGTCAAGAGAACTTACGTCGTACAGATCTTCCAGGATAGGGCTCTCGGGACCATCCTTTTCCAGAATCTCCTCAGCCTGCTTCTCCATGCGGTCCAGTTGGTTCTGCGCCTCAGTAACAACCCATTCGAGAGCACCAAGGTCACTGGGAGGAGCACCCTCGTTCAGAAGGTAGATATCGATGTGCTCGGGGATAGGGTACTCGCGAGTGGCGATAGATTTGAGCAGAGTCGACTTTCCACATCCGTTCTCACCGAGCAGACCATAACGACGACCGAAATTGAGTTCGAGAGTTGAATCGGTGATGAGGACCTTGCCGTGGAACACGAGGGAAGCGGAGGTGATCTTGACGTCGCGAGAGGAAGCCATCGAGGACAGAACACCGGTGGTGACACGGTCGGACAAACCGTGCTTATCCATCTGTGCGGTGAGCTTCTCGACTTCCTTCATCTTCTCCTCGGTGGTAGCGGGCTGATCTTCGGTAGGGAGAGGCTCGCCATCGGCATCAACCAGAGGGCTCTCGTCGCCCTTGACGTCCTTCTTCGACTTGGTGGTCTTCTTCTTATCGCCGTCGGCGGCACGCTTGGCGAGACGAGCGGCTTTGGAAGCAGACACCATTTTGGCGGTATGTATGGGGTGGAGGTGATGGGATGGGAGGTAAAGGGAGAGGACAGGTGAAAGGCCAAAAGTCTGCGTAGAGGTCCTGAACGCAGATGAAAAAAAAGGCTCGACGAAAGTGGATCGATAGCGGGGAGGAAGGAGAAAAATAGGTAGAGAGGGGCGACCAAAGCCTTTCAGGTGGGGTGTCTTCGAAATCCAAGAATGTATCCTTGACCTTTTTTTAAAACCCTTATCGATAAATCTTCGGGGGAGGCGAATCCTCAGCCGTTACTCGGTAGTGGGACTCGAAACTCGAACTTGGTTAGATTCGAGGGCAAGTAGAATGTTATATAGTACTGAGAAGCTAGTCTCAATGAACAAGGTCTGATGGCGACAGAAATATGGAACCAACGCCCAAGAAGATGTTGGAAGGAATAAAGAAGGCTTTAGATACCTTGTGGCCGTCCTTCGAAAATTCGTTCAGTGCGGCGGGTTCTCATTGGCCAAGCGACGTCACTGC